CTATGCTGTTGCTGTTAGGTGCTGTTGAGTCAAGTATGAATAACAGACCTGAATCCTGACCTGTCCTATCCTGTGCCATTCTCACTATCTCTGAAACACTTGAGCCCATTGCTGCAGTCACAGTATCAATCCATCTGGTCGAGGGTCTTATTCTCTTTTGCTGATCCTCCAACTTTCCAAGTATGATATCCCTTTCCAACGAAAAAATATGTATCATGTTTATTGATACGAATATATTTTTAAGTGCAGTGCTTGATGTTAATAAGAATAAAAGATTAATAAGTAATTGAAAAGGGATCATTATTCACTGTCTAGTTCTCAGAAAGGATGAAAGTTATACAAGTGTTCAGGTCTTTCATTCATAGGTTTGCTATGAATCGCCTACAACTCAATGGCACTTAACAACAACAATATAGAGAGAGATCAGTTGGCCTAGTGGACAGAAAGTGATGCTACTAAGCCAAAAGTGGATGATTTTAACCCGAGGCCCTCAGACCTGTTTTTAACTGTTTTTGGTCAAACATTCTTCTAGATCATATAGTCCTGTTCTGTCCACTTGCTGTACAGAGCTAACTCGTGGTTGCTGTGAAGCTGAGCACTGTGACACTAATGTGTCAAATGTGATAATGGTTACCCATGGTGTACAGTGTTTGGTGGAGCTCCCCAACTAAAGCAAGCTTGGAAGCAGGAGTGGCATCTACTTCCAAAATAGCTTGCCCCCGGAAACCCTATAAACCTGGAGAAAAGATGAAAGTTATACAAGTGTCCAGGTCTCTCATTCATAGGGTCGCTATGAGCCACCTACAACTTGATGACACTTAACAACTTAACAACAACAACAGTTTCCAGAAGCATAGCAAGTAATTGAAAAGACAATGGCCTGAATCAGGCACACCTTAGTCTTCAAACTGACATCATTGCTCCTTAGTAATTTAGGGATATCTCTGACAACTGATTTGCCCAAAGCAATACATTTCCTGATTGCTGGTACCAAGGGTGTTGATTGTGAATCTAAGTAAGATGTAATTGACAGTTTCAATCTTTTCTCCAATTATCATGATATTGCCTGTTGGCCCTGTGGTAAGGATCTTTGTTTCTTGATGTTGAGATGTAATCCATATTGAAGGCTGAAGCCTTGATGAGAAGACTGGAAGGGGGCACTACAGGAACTGCTGGTGAAGGCTAGGGAGAATCTGCAAAGCCCACAGAGAGTGCTTACAAGTCTAGACTTTATCTCAAGTGAGTTCTCAGTATACTGTTACTGCATTTAAACGTTAAATTCTCGAAAGGAATTTAAAAATAAAAAATTACCCCTAAACTAAAGTTTAGATTAAAGCAGCAAGCAGCTCACAAAATTTGAGGTACCTCTATCTCCTAGGAACTTGGAAAGGATCTTCTCACTCCCACCCTTTTGTAGGCTGACCTCTGTGGCCTTCATCTCCAGGCACACGACACAGCACCCAAAGTTACAATTAGCCAAGTCCTCCAAGACAGCCAGCTGATAACTAACTCCCAGGACTGTTCTGGGCCATCACTCTCTCTGCAATACGTCATCCCATTCTCATTCCTTCTCCAAATTCCACGCCATCACTCGCCCTGAAATACGTCACCCCATTCTCATTCCTTCTCCAAACTCCACCAAAAGCCTGCTTAATTCTATCTGAATTTTAGTTTCCAAATTCAGCTCAAATGTCACTGCCTCCCAGAATCTTCAAAGCTATTTCTTTCCTCTCCCTGCAGAATTACATGTTCATCCTCTGTATTTCACTACTCTTGAACTGTTTTATAACTTTCCAAATTGATTATAGTTCATTTTTCCTCATAATTTTATACTTACATAGTGGACATTCAGGAAAGTATTGTTGAATGAATGATGGATGGATGAAGGAATGGAGGACTTGTTCTTGCCCCTGAAGTCCAGTGTCTGCTGGTGGGGCCTTCCCTCTGACATAACACTGCCTGAGGCAGGTCTCTGGTTATCCTTCCTTGTCATCTGGGTCCATCTGCTTTCTTCCCTTAGTGGTTCTGCCCTCATCAAATAGCAAAGTCAGATAAAGATGACTTCCAGAATCAAAGGAAATTCCAACATCCCTACCCACCTCACTGCTCAGAGGGACAGCAAGAGTTAACTAGTCATTTAGTTTGGACAGGATGAGAGAGGAAAGGGGCCTTGGCCCTCTGTGGAGGTCACCCAGCACACCAGCCCTGAGCCAACGGGCTGCCTTCTGACATCAGCAACAGCCATAGGTCTCAGTCATCTGGCTTCCTCACACCACCTCCTCCCCTCTCAGAATGGCCATAATTCTCCACAGGATGGCAACAGAAGGACCTTGAACATTATCTGCATGACCTGTCCTGTAATAACCACCTCCCCACGAAGTCTACCCAAGGCAGGCACACGTGTGCGTAAGGGTGCACGTGCCATTTAAGTCCATGCAGAGACACAAGCCTGGTCACCAACGCTCCAGCCTTCCCAGAATCCTCTCTGCCCTTTCTACTTCCAATGTTTCTGAAAGCCAAAAGGACCTAGGCCCAGGCTGGAACTTGGTAAATAAGTAGATGCCAGGGCTTCCCTCAATGCTCTTTTCTGCAAAACCAGGAAGGCTAGAAATGCCTCCGGCAGGTTTCTTAAGCCAATGATACACCTGTACCCCTGTTTGCCCAGCTGGCTGTCACCCAGTGGAGAAGGAGGAAGGTTCTGTACCCTGGAGCAGCAAGCTGGGAGGTTGTGGGAATTTGAAAGGGGAATTTGACAGAAGGCCTACCTCGAGCCATAAAAACTTCACAGAAGAGACAGCCACTAGAGTTAAACAAATCAGGACCAAGCTCTACCCTTCTATTGTTGTGGTATCGACTATGACTTATAGAAACCATGTGAACAACAGATCTAAGCCTTGCCCTACCTTATAGCATCCTCGCCGTCTCTAACGTGCTATTCCTCTTTCTCTGACCCTCCACTTTTCCCAGCACAATGTCTGTTTTCAAGGACTGGCCCCTGACAACATGCCCAAAGTATGTGAAATGAAGTTTCACCATCCTTGCCTCAAAAGAGCACCCTGGTCGCACTTTCTCCAAGACATATTTGTTCTTTTGCTGGTCTGCAGGATATTCAGCACTCTTCTCCAGCACCACAACTGAAAAGTAAAAGCAAAGTCAGACATAGATGGCTTCTAGAACCGGAGGAATTATCAACATCTCTACCCACCTGACTTTGTGCCTTCTATTAGTATTAACAATAGGGAGCCCTGGTGGCCCAAGGGCACGCGGTTCAAGGCCACTATACACTCCACGGGAGAAGGATGGGCAGTCACCTCCTGTGAGGTTAATTGCCTCTGAAAGTCTGCTTAGAGGGTCAGCTATGAGTCCGTTCCGACTCAGTGGTACGCAACAACAACAACTTAGTACTGACAGTTGCAAATGACAAAGCAGCACACTGTTCTAGAAGGTTGGGGTGGCCAGGGAAGATGGTGTGTGAGGACTGAGCGGGGCCCTGCAGGCAGCTGCTGCTTTCAAAGACCAGGACTAGCAGCTGTGTGGGTTGCTGGGTCCCCTCCTACCTCTTCACCTGCAGTGGAGACAGGCTAAGGGGCTCGCTCTCTCCTACACCGGCTCTAAGTTGCCGGTGTGTTCCTGTCATTTTCTCTAGAGTGAGGGAAAGTGAAAGCAGGTGAGGACTGAACCCAGTTTTCAGACCTTCCTCTGCCTTCAGGCATTGGGACAGGTCCGACACACACAGGAGATAAGGCCAGGGGGTGGGAGTCAGGTGTTGGTCTCTCTACCCCCACTTACACTGCCAGATGAATCTGGCTTGAAAGCCACTTCAAGGACCTCTCTACATGGAAAGGATGTCATCACAGTACAGCAAGCAGCCTAGTTTGTGGGAGGAGAGAGACTCATTCATCGTGCCTGGCTTAACTGTGTGTGGTATTTGCAGAGGAAACTTGGCTGCTTAGAGAACATCTGCTTAGCAACACATGATCCACAGACTACAAAGACTTGAATGAGCACCCCAATATCCTGTCCTTTCGATCTTTCTGCGCCTGTCAAGCCCCCGGGCACAGCCAGCCCAGTCCCAGCAGCTCAAGGAGGAAGAAGGTGGGTGCTGGCTGAGGCCAGGTCCCCTCTCCTTACCTCCTTGTCTGGTTGACCCAGCTTTGTGGGCCCACAGAGCGAGCCTCGCCTGGCCCTGAGGTATTGTTAGTCCTGGTACAACATGAACTTCTAAGGGAGCCAGCAAGAAATGACTCAGAATAGGACATCAATGACTAGCTATAGAAACTGATGGTATCTGTGTAAACTGATGAGTAAATACATAAACAGTTGAACAGATGTATCCAGGGGGGTGTGGGAAGAATCGATCACAACTCTTGTACTGTCACAGCCCTGCCACTGACCATCTGTTTGACCCTGAGTAAGTCACCTCCATGCTCTGGACATCAAAGTCCTCATCTGTAAGGGTGGGGGACTGAATGAACTCTCCAACTTTCTCAATGTAGAACACAGCCATCTGGAATTCTTTAAATACATACTTCTGAGCCTCAACTTTAGACTTATTAACTATTTCTGAGGATGAGGGTTGGGAATCTGCATTTTACAGTACAGTGCTTTAACAGGTAAAACCTGAGACAAAAAAAAAAAACAACCTGAGACCCACTGTCCGAGGATAAGGATGCCCCCACTGCCTTGTTCTCAGGGCTGCTTTTTTGCCCTCTTCATTCCTCCGAGTCTGGCACCAACCGCTCTACTTTCTGCCCCCAGCCCTCACGTGCTTCCCGCAAATGGTCAAAGCAGCAGTGTGAGGCAATGCCTCCATCCTTGACCCCTTCCTTTGCACAGTGAGTAATGACATTTTTATCTCCTGGTGATGAAGCACAGCCTTCAGCTCAGGGCATTTAAGACCCAGAACCGACTGGGACTCAGCCACAGCTGCAGGACCCAGAGGCAGACCTGGGGAGGCTCAGGTCAGAAGCAGCACCCTTGGGAGCAGAGATAAAAGCAGCGGCAGCAGCAGCGCACTTGTCCTGCCAGCAGACAATGCTTCTAGCAACGTTCAAGCTGTGCGCTGGGAGCTCCTACAGACATATGCGCAACATGAAGGGTAAGTTTCCTGGGGGAGGAGGAAGCTTTAGTGGTAACCTGTAACTCTCAGGTAACACGACTTAATGGGCAAAGTACTGAACTGGGAGCCAACTTCTGATCTCAGCTAAGGCTCTGGCTCTGGGCAAGTCCTTTCCCTTCTGAGTCTGTTCATCCTTCTGAAGAGTTAGGTGAGATTCTAATGTGCCCGTTTCTTTCTGATTCTGCTCTTCCTAGTCTCCCACCTCCCCTTTTGCCTTTTATGTGAGCTAGTGATGGCTGGGAATCAGGAAGGGACCAGGATATGTTTGGCCAGTGGTAGATGCAGAAATAGGCTTTGCCTCCCTCAAGCAGTGTTGGCAAGGTTTCTACATAGGTAGAAAGAGGAGAAAGACCAGGGGTGAAGACAGAGAAAAACAAGATGAGAGAAGGTGGGTGTGTGTGGGCAGGGAAGTGACGATCGTACAGTCACCAAGAGGGACAAACCTGTTACCAAGTGTCGTTTTTGTAGTTCATAAGGATCCCAAGGTTGTTTCAAACAACCCCCTATAACTAAACAAGTCTTTCTCAAACACATTAGGCTGGACCAACTACCATTTCGATAGAAGTCACGCTTGGGAAGGCCTGCACGTGGCAGTTGGGTGTCACTCTGAACATTTTCTCATGTGATGGACCCTGATTGCCCCCAAGTTCTCAGACTCAGGGGGCAGTCTTATTTTCCTGCCCCTGTGTTTTCTTAGTTGAGTGAACAAAGCTCTCTCCCTTCTTGAGGGGTGACTTCTGGGGTGGAAGAGCAGGCTCCAGGAGGATCAAGTCGCACCACGCCAGATGGAAGGCAGCCACATGCAAAGAGCAATGAATTGGAGAGCTGGCTGTAAGACTGTGCTCCTGAGCAAATCACTGCCCTTCTCAGGGCCTATTTCTTTATCTCTGACAAGATAGCAAGTGGAACGATCCTTTTCTAAGCTTTTCCTGTCCGTTGACGACACTTTCTTTACTTCTGCCCACAGGTCTTAGGCATCAAGCAGTGCTGGCCATTGGTCAGGAGCTAAACCGGAGGGCAATGGGGGGTCCGGCCCCTAGTGCATGGATTAACCAGGTCCGGCGTCGGAGCTCTCTACTTGGTAAGTGCTTCTGCCAGTCGAGGAGGCCCTTTGCATGCACGAGTTACTCCAGACCCCGAGACCTCAGTCAGACTTCTTTCCCCTACTCATTCACTCTATTTTGGGAGGATGAGAATAGCATTCGAGGCCAGACCCCACCCTCACTGTCACCTGCAGCTTATGTATGTTTAACTTGACCAGCAGTCTGAACCCCATTATGGCCTTGGTACTTCAGAGGAAAGATGAAATAAGAGATCAAACAATGAAAGCTGGTGGGAGGCGGGGTGGAGGGAGTGGGGGAACTGAAGCAGTGCTGTGTCTCCTTGGCTGTGTATCCAGGCTCTCGGCTAGAAGAAACCCTCTACAGTGAACAGGAGATGGCCTATGTTCGGCAGGGTGAGGAGGCCATGCAGAAGGCCTTGGGCATTCTCAGCAACCAGGAAGGCTGGAAGGAGGAGAACCAGCAGGTAGGTGTGGGGCGGAGGAGCCCACAGCTCTTCATCGTTCCGTCTGTGTGAAGAGCAGCAGGGATCCCTACTCTTCTCAGATTCCTGTTGTATGCAGGCAGTCGCCAGGCAGCAAGTGTTTTTGAGAACTCTCCTTGCCCTGGAATACCTGCCTCCATCAGAGATACGTGGAGACTCCAATTTGAGACAACTCTTCTTTTCCCCTTGGCTATACTCCAATCACACCATATGCACCCATTCAGTAGAGACTACGCAGTGTGTCTAAGAGACCTCATGATCCTGTGGATAAGCAAACCCATATAAATGGAGTGTTTGTGCTGGTGAGTGGAGAGGCTCCACTGTCACAGGGCTGGGCTAGAGCACAGAGGTGACCCAGGACATTCTAGGGTTCTTTGTCTCTGAGAGCTCCACCAGCCAGTAGCAAGGGCCACGTTAAAGGTTTGCAGTTCTATTGCTTGAAAATGTGGTGCCTTTATGTGGAGTAAAATCTTACATGCTGCCATTACTAAAGTTCAGGTGAAACTACTCCTCCAAGTCCTCAGGCTAATGGGAAAAAGCACACGACTAGTGTTGACAGAGTGAGTGCAGCAGTGGGCTCTAGTGTGTCAGGAAGTATGAGGAGGGCACAGGATAGGACAGCGGTCAGATCTGTTGTTCATAGGGTTGCTAAAAGTCATACTTGGCTCCTAACCAGAAGTTTGAGAGTGAGGAAACTTGGGGTCTAGATTTAACACTGCTCTTACTTGAGAGACCTAAGGTTCATAGGTCCCACACAGCCTTCTTGAATCTCTTCAGGTTCCATCCACCACTCTATGTAGCAAATGGGCTCTTTGTAGTTTTTCTCCAACCAGGGCAGGGAGGTGCTTCGAGGCAGGGATGGAGAAGGTGCAGCCCACATACTCTGAGGATGTTGTCAGGAGGTGCCAGTTTTTGGGAAAAGACACCAGGCTGGAGAAAGGAGATGGAGAGAAAGATCCTCAATGAGATGGGCTGACAGTGACAGCTGCAATGGGCTTGAGCATGGCAGAGAACTGTGAGGACAGTGCAGGATAGAGCAGGCTTTCAATCTACCATTCATAGGATGAGTTGTATTCAACACTTTATGGCAGCTAAGAACAGTTTTCCTCAAGTCCAAGAAAAGTCTTTTTTGTTGAATTTACTCAAACCACAAATCTGGGGGCTGGATGGTAACCTTTCAAATGTGTGTTGCTTGTGAGAAGATAACCCCACTCTACACTTACAGGTAACAGTCCTAGGCTTCCTCATGCCAAGTGTGGAGGCTTTTTTTTTTTTGCTCTTCCCTTCCTACCTTGCTTGGTCTTGTCTGTGTGTCCCAGGTTAGGAATATTCTTCTCTAACCTTTAACCTGGGATCTTTTCTGTTCCCGACAGGCAAATGGGGACAAGGTGCTAAGTAAAGTGGTCCCAGAAGTAGGCAAGGTGTTCCGGCTGGAGGTGGTGGTAGACCAGCCCATGGAGCGGCTCTATGCAGAGCTCGTAGACCGCATGGAGGCAATGGGAGAATGGAACCCCAATGTCAAAGAGATCAAGGTAAGGAGAGTCCTAGCAGGGGTGGCAGAGATCCAGGGTAGCCTAGCTTGAAAAGGAAGCCCAACAGGCTGCCCTGTGGGTGGTGTCTTAGAACCAGAACTGGTCAAGTAATGACTCTGGTCCTCTCATGGCTTTCCAGGTTCTTCAGAAGATTGGAAAAGACACAGTCATCACTCATGAACTGGCTGCGGAATCTGCAGGAAACCTCGTGGGGCCCCGCGACTTTGTGAGTGTGCGCTGTGCCAAGCGCCGAGGCTCCAACTGTGTGTTGGCTGGCATGGCCACACACTTTGGGGAGATGCCTGAGCAGAAAGGAGTCATTAGGTAATGCTAGTAGCTTCAGCGATCTCTTTCCCAAATAAGCCTGTGAGCATACGTCTACCACATTTGATGGTTTGAAGCCCCAGGTCCAAAATATGAATCCTACTTATACTTGGACCAGGAGGCAGTCGTCAGAACAGAGCAAGGGAACACTGCATGGTTCAAAATTGGGAAGGGCGTACGCCAGGGATGCATCCTATCTCCATACCTTTTCAACGTATATGCAGAACAGATTATTCGGGAGGCTGGACTCTATGAGGAGAAATGTGGGGTCAAGATTGGTGGACGACTTATTAACAACCTGCGTTATGCGGATGACACAACCCTGCTTGCTGAAACTCAGGAGGACCTGAAGCGCCTGCTGCAAAGTGTCAAGGACTGCAGCCTACAATATGGATTGAGGCTCAATGTCAAGAAGACAAAGATTCTCACCACTGGACCAATTGGCGACATCAGGATGGATGGTGAAGAGATTGAGATTGTACACAGCTTTAGTTTGCTTGGCTCCATAGTCAAGTCTTGGCACCAGCAGCCAGGAAATTAAAAGGCCCATTGCCATGGGAAAGTCTGCTGTTAGGGACCTCTCCAAAGTACTGAAGAGCAATGGTGTCTCTCTGGAGACTAAGGTGTGTCTGATACAGGCCATGGTCTTCGCAATCACTTGTTATGCATCAGAGAGTTGGACAATGACCAAGGAGGATAGAAGGAGAATTGATGCCTTTGAGCTGTGGTGCTGGAGAAGAGTATTGAGAATACCATGGACTACTAGGAAAACAGATTTGTCCTGGAAAGGGTTAAACCGGGTGGCTCCTTGGAGGCAAGGATTCTGAGGCTCCGTCTAACATACTTTGGACATGTTGTGAGGAGAGACTGGTCCTTAGAGAGGGACATCATGCTTGGGAGGGTGGAGGGACAGTGCAGGAGAGGAAGGCCCTCTATGAGGTGGATTGATTCAGTGACTGGGATAATTGGGATGGGAGTGTCAGAGACAGTGTGATTGGCACAGGACAGAGTGGAGTTTAGGGATGTTGTACATAGGGTCGCTATGAGTCGCAAGCGACTCGACAGCACATAACAACAACCACCACCTTAGTCCTCATCCTCCAAGTGTCCTTTACAAAGGAAGTAGATTCCCATTTTCCAAAGCAATAAAGAATAAAGACAAGATTGGCCCCCCCTCTAAGAACCAGTTTTTCTTAGCTTCCAGGAAATGTAAAGATCTTATTTTCTACAGCAAGGGCAGGATTTAAGTTCACATAGTAAGATCAGGATCAGGTGGACTGGCAATTGAAATCCTAAAATAACTGATACCACTTAGAACACGGTGCCTCCTGAGTGTCTCAGCCTCAGACACCACCCTGGAACCTCCTTGACCTTCCCATGATGAAAACACAAAAGCCAAGCTGGGGGCCTCCAGGTTCCTGCTCCAGCTAGAACAACATCGCTTCTGATGAGCTGGTAGCCTTGCTACCATATTAAAGATCATCTTTGGCAAGGGGTACACTTCTGACATTCAGAGTAAGACATTGCTCTGTAAGTGGCCAGTGTAACACCCGTTAAGTTGATACGCAATAGCAGGTTTTCAGAGGCAGTAAATCACATGAGAGAAAATTGCCCATCGCCCTCTCATGGAACATGAACTGCATACTTTTAGGTGGGCACAACTCCTTGCCACTAAGGCACCAAAGCTCCCTAGTTGGCCTTGGAACTTAATTGTCTTCTTAACCATCTATGTTTCTCAGAGCTGAACATGGTCCCACTTGCATGGTGCTTCATCCACTGGCTGGAAGTCCTTCAAAGACCAAGCTCACATGGCTACTCAGCATTGACCTCAAGGTGAGTGGTAGGGCAGGTGGCTCAGGTACGGGAGGTAGGTGGTAGTAAGCAAAGCAGGCTCTTCCCTCTCTACACCTCTCCACAAGGAACAGGAAAAATCCTCGTCCATTTTTGCAGCAGCACAGGCTGCTGGTGAGGAAAAGGATTTCAGCGATGGCCTAGGTGATACACCACTGTCCCAAGTTTGCAACAGCTCCCTCTTATCTCACTTAAAAATCTCAACTCAAATTTGCAACATTTTAGAGGGGGAAAAAAAAGTATGCTCAGAAATTCCAAGTAGGAGAGAGGAAAGTAACTTGGTCTGGGTTAGATGACTGGGAAAATGAAGGGTTGAAATTGGTCTTGACTACAGATCCTGAGCTTCCAACACTGTTATGACAGCAAGATGCCAATGCAATCTTTTGGTCGCTGACCCGGGGTCAACTCCCAAGTTAAAGAAAACTTAACTAGAAGCAGAACTGGGAGACCAAGCAGCAGGCAATGCAATGTTTGTGATGGGGGCAAAGATGCCTCAAGTGGAGTATCACCTAGAGATTACCACTCGTCTCTTCTATTCCAGGGATGGCTGCCGAAAGCTATCATCAACCAGGTCTTATCACAGACCCAGCTGGATTTCGCCAATCACCTGCGCCATCGTCTGGACTCCAGTGTGGCTTCTGAAGTCCGGTGTTAAAAGGCCAGCCTGCCATTCCAACTGTTCCTAGCTATGCTGTCTGTTTTAAATCCTCACTGGGGGACAGAGGGATGGGTTACAGTGTTTAGATGTTTAGAGAATAATACTAGGACTCAATTTGGTAAAATATGAACGTCAAGAAAAGAGATAAGGGTCTTAGACAAAGAGGAGAGCCTTCTTTCTTATTTATCAGCTGTGAAATGTTTGTTAAGACTCAAAATATTTGTAAAACTTTTTACTGAGTCCTTACTTGCTCACCTAAAAGTACCTTAAAATGCTACTAACCAATATGAATGCAGTGAATGCTCAGAACAAGGGCTGGGACTTAATGCTTTACAGGTTCAAAAACTCCATTTACTATAGGTACTGTATGAACAAACCTGGGCTTACAGAGTGGGTCCAGTTATAAGAGCAACTCCCCATATTAGGTACCCACCAGAAAGAAACATCAAGGTTTTTTTAGGAGAGACAAAAATAATTAAGACTATCTCCACTTTTTCTGTATTACTCAGAATAAAGAACATAAAACTAATATAAAAATAATATAAAGCTAATATAAAAACATAAAATTCTATTGGGGAAAACAAGAATCTGTTCTAATTATAACTTCATACCAGAAGAGTTAAAGACAAAGTAAAATTAACCAAATTCCTGTAGCTCATTTCCTCATAAAAGGAAAGAAACTATTGGAGGTTTATGTCATTCAATTACTTAGACTCTATTGTTAGACCCTTTGGTAAAAAAATTAATTTCCATAATAGATTAAAATTAGTTCTTATAGAACTCTACAACTCATTTTTAGTGGGCACTGGAAGATGAAGATGATGATTTTCATTTATCTAACTAAAAGTAGAGCAACAACATAAGAAACATAAGAACAGAACTTATGAGAAACAAGAACATTATTTTCCTGATTGTTTAGGCAGACAAAGGAAATACAACTTTCAGCATAAGGTCTATTACATCAGCCCCTGATTAGCACTTTTACTGTTTAGGGTAACTCCTATTAGCTTGAAGAAAACGCCATAGCTGTCAGCTCAGCTTGGGGCTGCCAACTTTTTGGCAGTAATAAGCTACTGTATCATTATTTTAGGAGAGGACATGGCTGGAGGGAGATGGGCAATGAGTGACAGTACATTCCTTTTCCAGGAGAATTCATGCTTTAAAAATAGAAGTTTGGGTAACTCTGTTAAAATTTCTAAGAAGTATGAAGAAGTAGCCATTACCACTTGAAACTATCTTTTCTATTGTGAACAATATTCACGATTTCACCCTTTGGAAAAAGGACTCAAGCTTATTTATTAAACAAATTAACAATAGCGTTGACACTGGTATTTACTGAGGTACTGTAATTTTACCATGAAAAGTATTTATTATTATTTATTCTGATTCTTAATCTATTTTAGAATGGATGAAATTATAGCTGAAGAAACATTTCTGGGAAAGAACTATCATACTCTCCCAGCTAAAACAAAATGGTTATTTTTTTAAAAGATGTATAAAGAGGCATTCTCTGGTTGGTTTCACAAGAAAATGGGCAGATGTTAAAGAAATGGGCTCTCAACAAAGATCACGAGTTTAATGGATTATAATTTGTCTTTTTCAAATCCTGTAACTACTTTTGTGGTGTTTGGGAAGATATTTTGTCCGTTACAATTTTACATTAGAGTAAGTTGTCACTGATGGCTTGCTCATAGAAACTATTTTATGTAAGATTATATGGAGAGGTGAAGACATTTGTTATAATGCTGAACACGTTTTAGCAGGGCTTCCAGACTAGGATGGGCTAGGAAGAAAGGCCTGGTGATCTATTTCCAACAATCACAAAAGTCAGAGTTTTGTTCTGTAAATGCGAATGTCATTAATAAAGGGCTGATGTGATGGCTATTAACAACAAATATGAAGAGTGGATACTCTGAGTCTTTCAAATAAATATTAACAACATATTCTTAGCAAAAGTATAAACCAGCAAAATCATTATTTCTGTAACTTATGATAAATCTAATGTTATAATTCAGGTAGAGTGGGTATTTAATTAATAATTGGTAGTATGTATTATGATGAATTTACTTCCATCTTCCTCTAAATATGATTATTCTTATTTTCTTGGAATCCTTCAAACCTCTAAGACATGCATGTTTGTATAACCAGGTATCCCCTTTAAGACTAGTCCAAAAGTTTGTTGGTAAATAGGGGTGAGCAGCTTGTAAACATACTCGTTAAGATACGTGAGTAGTGAAATATAAGGGCTCTGAAGAAATACATTAGTCAAAGTGCATATATTATTGTTAGCAGTCATCAAGTCAATTCTGACTCACAGCAACCAATACTCACTTGAAATCTGGCAGATTTCCTAAAAAGCATAGTGACAAGAAAGTAATTGAAGAGCCACAGACCTAACATATGGTGACTTGGTGGCAACATAACGTCTACCACCTGGTGAACCACTCTACCTATTAACTTAGCAAAAGTTATATGCAAGAGTCCTGGGGGAATCCTGGAAGGACTGCATTTGCCAAAAGACTGATGTGTTGTTGTCATCTAAAAAAGGGGAGGCAAGCAAGCCACAAATCTATCCCAAGGGAGGGCTCATTCTCATACTACAATTTTCAGTATTTTAAAAACTCTCCTTTTAATCAGCATTCTTTGAAACAAAGATAGGGGAGGCAAACAGCCTTCACAGACTGACACTAATGTTCAAAGATAAAAACAGACAAAATACCATTTGCCCATTCAACTCTTGTTCACCTCTTTGCAAGTCCAATCTTCCCAGGATGGAGGGGTGGTTGGTTAGCTAGCTGAAAAGAAGCAACATATAAAAAAATAAAAAAAAAAAGAAAAGAAGCAACAGGGGAGGAGCCAGATCCAAGTCAGAAACCTGCCTCTCCCTCCACTCACTGCCCTTCCTTCTTCCCACTACTCATTCTTGGGACACTGTTACCTTTGTATACCCTAAACTGAAGGATTCAAATGACACAGAAACATGAAAACAAGTTTTATTGGAGTTTCTACCCTTGTTAAGGCTTCAAAAACATTGCTTTCACAATATTAATTCTAGAGACCTAGTAGTTTCAAAGGTACCAATGTTCAAAGACAAAAACATCTGCACCAATAATGAAACTTTGAGACTGTTTGGGAATGTACAGCTATCGAGTTCATCAGCTGTTCAAAGAAATAAGCCAACTACTACCAGGGAGATAGATGGGATGGAGTTGAAACCCACAGAAAGAAAGATCTTTAAATAAGTTAGCTACTTGGACAAGATTATTCACGCCGCAGAAAATACAGTAAGAAAACAAATCCCTGCTTACAGGGTCTGTGGTACAGCACCAATTTCACAGAAAATTTTACAGGATCGTAGGGTTAACAGATGTTGGCATATGGTATACAACATAAGAGCATCCACTGACAGTCAAGAAAGAATATTACAAGAACAGCAAGCTTCTCCAGCTTCCCACTCTGGACTTTTAACTTGCAAAAATTAGAAGCTGTATTCGGCAGCATCTTAGAGATAACACTTACAGCAATTTGGGGAAAACCAAAATACACCCAAGTATTATTCTTCAGAATGTCCTCGTTTGAAAAGGAAGAACCCAGTCAGGGTTCCCATGGGGGACTCCGCCTCCCATCCACTTCTGTTTCCACATGATACAAGACATCAGCTAGAGTATGTTCTACCACAGCGCCCCAGCCCATGTCACTCATCTGCAGAAGGAATGAAAAACAGGGAAATGGATGATTAAAAGAACCGTAATAAGAAATAATAAAGACTCTTAAGGATGCAATTCTGACACTTTTAATCTTACTCACAGGACGGTAAGTGAGATCCTTTGGAGGATATTTGAAGCATGGTCCAAAGTTAATGGAAACCTGGGATAAATTCCATTCAAACAGGAATGAAAAAAACACAATATTGACAATAAAACACAATCTGACATGGGACAGTTTTATCTTTAAAATGCATTTGTGATGTTCAAGTTGAAACTGTAATGTGTGGTGTCTAAAATACACAGAAACCTCCAAGCAGCAAATTTTTCAATAAATTTAAAAAAAAAATTAACAGTTCCCTTTTTCATGCTGGATCACAACACACCACACCCCCGGCCCCGCCACATTCATTCATTCATTCATTGTTGCACTTTTCTCCCCTCCCAACCCTCTCCCCGGACCACACTTTTTTAAAAAAGGGAAAAAAATTAATATAAGCAAAAGTTACTAAACAATAATGGTAGATGATTGTGATTTATCATGATCTGACATAATTTATGAATACACTGACATCTTTTACATTTAAAAAAGAAAAATCATGCTCCAGAGTACAAATATTACACTAAAAGCATGATCTTTATCTAGGGAAATGCTTCCTAAAAACTCCAAAATATTCCTGGTACAATTAATAAAAATACATTCCCATTTTGCTCTCAGGCCTATTTAGATTTCTTAGAGATCTTTCCTTCCATTCACCCACCTCCCTCCCTCAAGCTACATTCACAGGATGAAAATATACATACCGTGCAACTCTTGTACAGCGAGATGGCTGGAAAGTAAACTCCCTCAAAAATATCTTTGTAAGCCACACCTTGATTAACACCATTTTTATAAAATATTATCTGAAACAAAAACCACTGGTTTTACTTCATAATTTAAAAATGAAACAATCAAAGAATTTACGAAGAAAATCCTTTAAAAGTACTGACACTATATCAGACCACAGTTGTACTGTAACTCAAGAGGAGCTTAATCTTTTGTAACAAAAATATCTTACATTTATAAAGTATTTAGATTTTTTTTTTTAATTTTTGTGTGCGTGTACCGTCAAATCAGATCTGACTGGTACAGGAGGAGATTGTCCCTCCTTCCCCGGCAGAGCATCTGGTGGATTCGAACCATGCGCCTCTGGGATTGTAGTTACAGCTCCTTACCACTAGGCCACCAGAGCTCCCCTAAAGTATTTAGATTTTTAAAAGCATTTTTACATGCACCATTACAGTTGGTGCTCAGGTTTACTTTCTGAAATCTTAATGTAGCTTTATCAAACAGATGGTCTACATATGATTGTTCATTATGCTATATTTTTATTATTTTTTTTCTTTAAGAGTTGGAGAAGAAATCATGAGTACAGATAAACTTACAGAAATAAATTTTACTTCTACTAGCACTCAGGCAATAGGAAAAAATGGAGCATAAAAATGTACCCAATAAGTTGATTTGCAAGATAGCAAAAAGAAAACCTACTGGGAATTATTTTATGGTCAAGTCCACAGCAAATCAGAAACTCCATTCTAAAAGCCTTGGTAATGATCACTCATTATGCTGTCTTTAAAAAAAGTAATGTGGTCTTCCACTGATTCTTTGGTGGTATGGTAGGGAAAGTGCTGGGCTGCTAGATGAAAGGTTTAAACTCAACAGCTTCTCCAAGAACTATGAGAAATTTGTTCCCATTAAATTTGAAAGTACTGAAATTTCCCCATTAAATAGGAAACTCAATGGGGCTGTTCTACTTTGTCCTATAAGGTCACTATAAATCAGAACTGTGAGTTTGGTGTGGGTATAGCTAATTAAGATTTTTATTTATTTTGTACCTTTTGCTTGCTTTATGGCACCACTTCTGCATTTCTGCCTTGAGGATGTGTGAATATTCTATTGATAATTTCTGAGTCTTCACTTTTTTATTCTCTCTTAACCTCTATACTGTGATTTCAGAAAAGGCTCCTTTTGCTAAAGCAATTTTGCCTCCTCTTCTAAGAGCGAGCCATCTATCTTCTCTCTGGCTGTATCATCCCTAGATTTCTTAACTGCTTTCTTATTGTTGTTGTTGCTGTTGAGTCACCTATAGCGACCCTATGTACAGCAGCTCTGAACCCTTTCATGTCCTGAGCAAGTCTCACTGATTCCAACACACCAATTCCCATTTCCCTAGTTACTGAATCAGTCTATCTCATCCGGGGTTACCTTCTCCTGCGCTGTCCCTCCACCCTTCTGAGCATGCTGTCCTTCTCCAAGGATCAGTCCTTCCTGGGCCACGTGCCCAAATAAGGTAGAGCTTCAGAACTCTAGCTTCCAAGAAGAAATGTAGTTTCACCCTCTCAAAGGCAGATCTATTTATTTTCTTGGAAGTCTGTGACTCTTGTCCAGCACCACACTTGAAGGTATCAATTCTTCTTCTCTCATCCTTAGTCACTGTCCAGCTCTCTGATGCATAGAGTAATTGCAAAAACCGTGGTCTGGATTAGGCACACCTTAGTCTCTAGGTTATCATTGCATTTCAGTACTCTGAAGAGGTCCTTGACAGATTTTCCCAATGCAATTCTTTTTTTTTTTATTTCCTGACTGCTGGTGCCAGGAGTGTGGACTGTGGAGTCTAGCAACCTTTAACTGTTAACAAACTCAATCTCTTCTCCATCTATCATGGTGCTGCCAATTGGCCCAGTAGTGACAACTGTTATCTTCTTGATGTTGAGCTTCAATCCAGTCCTTGACCTTCTGCAGCAAGTGTTTCAGGTCCTACTCAGTTTCAGCAATCAAGACTGTATCAACTGCGTAATGTAAGTTGTTGATGCCACATCCCTCCTCACAAAGCCCAGCCTCCCAAATGATCTGTTCCACATAGATTGAAAAGGTAATGAAGACAGGATGTATCTCTGATGCACACCTTTCCTGATTTTGAGCCATACCATGTTTCCTTCCTCTGTTCCTGGCCCACGTATGTTGTTATGTGCCATCAAGTTGCCTGCAACTCATAGCGACCCTAAGTACAACAGCCCTAAACCCTGCTCTATCCTGTGCCAATCTGTCTCTGACACACTTACCCCCATTACCCCAGTCACTGAATCAATCCATCTTATCAAGAGTCTTCCTCTCTTATGCTGTCCCTCCACCTTCCCAAGCTTGATGTCTGTCTCCAAGGACTGGACCCTCCTTGCAACATGTCCAAAGTATGTCAGACAAATCTTTGGAATCCTTGCCTCCAAGGCATCCTGATCTCACCCTCTCTAGGACGAACCTTTTTTCCCCTCCTATCAGTCCATGGTATATCCAATAATCTTCTCCAGCACTAGAGCTCAAAGGCATTAATTCTTTCATCCCTACTGTCCAGCTTTCGGAAGCCTAGCAAAGACTATGGCCCACATAAACACAATCAAGTGTTCTGGGACTCTCATTTTCCTTAAGGTCAACCACAATTTGCTGTGATCAATACAGTCAAATGCCTTTGCAGAGTCAATGAAACACGGATAAGACATTCCTCAGGTACTCTTCTTGGCTTTTTGCCAAGATCCATCTGACATTGGAAATATGTCTGGTAGTTCTCAGTCAATACACTGTTCCAGTCGTTTCTGGATAATCTTCAGCAGGATTTTGCTAGTGTGTGATTATTAGTGATATTGTGCAATATTTTCCACATTCTGTAGGGTCACTTTTTGGAATGGGAATAAATATGCTTCTCTTCCAGTCTGTTGCCCAGGTAGTTGTCCTCCAGACATATCATTGCTGATACTGAACTTCTCCAATGATTCCTTCCACAGGTATAATTGATCTGACTCCTATGCATACCATCAGGTGAAATCTGTGTGTATAGCCTGGGTTTGTGTTTCTTATAAAAAGTATTTGCAATGAACATATCGTTGATTGTACAGAATTCTATCATTCTATCTCCAGCTTCATTCCGTCAATCACCAAGTCCACGTTTTCCAACTACTGATCCTTTTTCCTGGTTTCCAACTTTCAAATTCCAGTCACCCATTATTATTAATGCATCTTGGTGACATGTTTGATCAATTTCTGACTGCAATAGTTGGGAGAAATAATCTATTTCCTTTTCTTTGGTTCTTGTTTTTGGTGCATAAATTTGAATGACAGTGGTATTAACAGGTCTTCCTTGTATGTGTATGGATAGTATCCTGTCACAATATTATATTTCAAGATGAATCTAGAAATGGCCTTTTAAACTATGAAAATGACTGCTTTTTCTCACCTTTTCATCTCCAGCATAGATCATATGATCATCTGATTTAAAATTTCCCATGGCAATCCATCTAATTTCCCTAATACCTAAAATGCCAATATTTATGCTTTCAATTTCTTTCTTAACAATGTCCAGTTTTCCTACATTCATGCTTCTCAAATTCCATGTTCCAATCATTAATTTCTGCTTACAACTGTTCCTCCTCCTTTGTGTTTCCAAATTTGAGGGCTCAGCCTCAGTTGACATATCTGTTAGTCTACTCTAAATGTGCTCTACTATTCACAGGGTTTTCAAAGACCTGATATATTTTGGAAGTGGATTGCCTATCTTTCCTAGTCCCTTTACTATTTTTCCTTAAAATTAACTGTAAACAAGTTTCTATTTCTTTTGTAATTTTTTTATTATTAATAATTTTACTGAAAATTTACAGAGACTTTAGATTTCCATTCATTCATTGTTGTACTTTCCTCCCTTCCCCCTCCCCCCCAGTACACTCTTCTCTTTGAAAAGTAAAATTCTTTTCATCGTTTTACAATCCCTCCCCCTAGGTCCACTCTACTATGCAGCCTTCGTTCTGGACTCCTGTCATGACAATAATACCTAATCACATATCCCTTTTAAACAGTTTTCTCCCTCATCTGTTTCAATGCAGTGTACATTATTAAACCAATCTTTCTCGGTCTCCCCCAAGCCCTGAGGTCAGTCCTGTTTGTGACTGAGATACTTCACTCAGCATAATGTCCTCCAGGGTCACCCATTTTGAATAATATTTCTTGAGTTCCTTGTTTTTCAATGCAGCGTAGTATTCCATTGTGTGAATATACCACAGGTTCTCTATCCATTCATTTGTTGAAGGGCACTCAGGTTGTTTCCAACTCTGCTATTATGAACAAAGCTGCAATAAACATGGTGTGCACATATCGGCTTGGATGTCAGTTATGGTCTCTTTGGGGTATATTCCCAGTAGTGGAATTGCTGGGTCAAATGGTATCTCTATTTGCAACTTTTTGAGAAAGCACCATACCGCCTTCCACAGTGGTCGCACCATTTTACACTTCCACCAACAATGAATAAGGTTTCCAGTTTCTCCACAACCTCACCAGGATTTGTTGCTTGCTGTTCTGTTAAATTTTGCTATTCTAACTGGGGTGAGATGATACCTCATAGTTGTTTTGATTTGCATCTCTCTTAGAGCTAGGGATTTTGAACATTTAGTAATGTGCTTGTTAGCCATCTGAATGTCTTCTTTGGTGAAGTGTCTGTTCATATCCTGTGCCCATTTTTCAATTGGATTATTTACCTTTATCTTGTTGTGGTGCCTATGCCCATTTTTCAATTGCGTTGTTTACCTTTATCTTGTTGTGGTGCTCAAGTATTTTAGAAATTCTACATAAGTCCCTTACCTGACATGGCATTACCAAATACTTTTTCCCAGTCTGTGGCTTCCCTTTATATCCTGTTTAAGAAGTTTTTGGATGTGCATAGGGATTTGATTCTTAGAAGGTCCCATTCATCTATTTTATCTTCTCCTGGCTGTAGATTTTTCAGGATACTTATATTGTGGATTAGGACAAGTTTCTATTTCTTACATGCCCTTCTATTGCTGTCCTGGATGGTTCATGGCAATTTTGTGGGGAATTGTTTCCAGCTCAGAATTTTCTTTTTCTCCTTTAATTTTTGGTCCTTGTGGCTGGCCCAGAAGTACAAGCCTTTGATTGTACCAAGACCTTGTGCAGACTCTTTAAGGAGACTCTGGGAAGGGGTTCTAAAAATTGCTGAGTGAACCATTCTAGTTCTGATGCTCACGGTCACAAAGCAAGGTCTGCTTTCCTAGTCCAGTATTTCATTCTCAGCTCAATACTTTCCTTGATAAAGAATAAATATATCTGATTTGCTTCTTTAGTCTCCTGGAGGTTTCCTTTAGTGGGTCATAGGGGTTTTTTTCGGTTGTTCTTTTTTAAAGTAGGTCATAGTTTTGATACTGTTTTTTCCTACAGACTGTCTCTGGTGACCTCTCTTCTAGCAGCAGAATGACACTACAAAAACCGCATACACTGTGGAAGCACAGAGAGTAGCTGTGTGTGCTCGCCTACTAGCTATCTGTATAATTCTCCACTGTTCTCAGGGAGTCATTTTAATAATTAGGGGACTGGTCTCCGGCATCAAGGTCTTTTGGTTTTGAGGTTATGACTATAACTCACCTCACTATGGGGAGTCTGCTTTAGGCTCTTCTCTGCTTTATCCACAAAATCTTTTTCTTCAAAATACAAGTAACTTTTGAACTTTATCAAAGCCTTGAAAACAAAGAGGGAAGGAAGCATGCTGAAGCATTAACTAGATCATAAAAAAATTTTTTAAAGCCAGATTTATGAAAACTGTAGCAAGTGTGGTTTAACAGCAATTAGTAATCTTTGTGAACATAGTATTGCTAGATTTTAAACTACTTTATAATTATTCAGAAGTACTAGATAGTACATAATTGTCGAGTATTTTCAATAAAGGCCTTTACAGGGAAAATCTGTGAGGAGACACAGAGATAGGTAAATACACATTCTCACCAAAATAATAATACCCATAAAAGTGGCTAACTTTTTTCTCCTTTCTCTATAACTTCAGTGGAGAAAAAAAAATGTTAACAAGACCTAAAATGCCTTAAACAATAAATATAATTTTGAAGGATTAGTTTAATGTCATTACTTAAGAGCTCACTCCTACTTTCCTGTTTCTCCACAGGTGCTAAATACAAGATAAACAACCTGAATTCACCAGAGAAAAGGTTGATAGCTTCCTCCTATAAAGACTTATAGCCTCAGAAACACATCCTGGGTTGCTATGATTTGGACTCAACTTGATGGCAGTAAGGTAATGTTTTGTTTTGATATGCTATTAATGTATAAATTCCATTTTTTAAGATCATGTACTAAGATACAATAGAAGGTAAACAGTCTCCAACACCAAAAGCAATCAGTGTTCAAGTTTCCCTTCTGGAGAGTTTAGGCAAATTAAATAGTGAACATTTAAAAACTATACCACACAAACAAACATGCAAACCAAGTTATACAAACAACAGCTCTTCTACATATTCTGTCCTGTACCCTGGATTTTCACTCAGTAAGCTGTCTTGGGGATCATTTCCTATCGGGATATATATGTAATTTTTTTTTTAAAGGAGATAGGGAAATGTTAAAAAAAACGGATCCAAAGGCCCACCTTTGATAAGAAAAAGGAATGGAAATGGTCTTTATAAAGTGTGGATCAAACTCAAAACCCAGTGAAAACACACTTAAAATTTATTGTTTTTATAAAATGTCATTATTTTTTGTGTGTGTGTACCGTCAAATCAGATCTGACTGGTACAGGAGATTGCCCCTCCTTCTCTAGCAGAGCATCTGGTGAATTCGAACCACGTACCTCTGGGATTGCAGTACAGCTTCTTGCCACCAAAGCTCCCTACACATTTAGAATTTAAACACCAAATACAAAATTTACATTAAAGAAAACAATAAGGGAGCCCACCCCCAAATAACCCCAACAATGAGGAACTCTGGCAAATGATATGCACACCAAGGTACATGAAGAGGCATACTGTGCCTGTGAATTTTCTTTGAAATGTAGACTAGATGGCTAGCTAGGCTAATGAATGGATAAACACATTAATGATTAATATAGATTGTGAGCATATGGACACTCAACCTCAAAATTCTTTCAACTCCATTCTAGGTTTGACAATTTTCATAATAGAATGTTTGGGGGAAAGTGAACAGTGGACAGCATCAGAAGAGCTCACACAGCCAGGACTCCAGGCACTGGTGGCCACATGTCTTAAAACCTCTAGCACTCCTTTAAGGAAGGACAAACTCACCTTGTCTTTGTAAGTATCAGGAAGTGACTTGGCTGTCTCTGTGTCTTCAGGAAGATTGATATAGAATCCCAGGATGTCCCCTTGTCCATAGCCAGAAGAGTAGTGTTTTCCAATAGACTGGTGGAATTTTGTTCCTTTTTTGCTTCGCCAAGAATAGCTAAATTTATCATAACCTAAGGGAGCTTGGAGGTTACCTGTCTCAATAAAAAGAAATATAGAAAGTTAGAGAATTACAAGTCAATTCTGAAAAGAGTTACAGAAGAAACATTCCTAAGAAATGCTACTAGCTTATCTCTCAGAAAATTTTTGTTCATAATCCTCTAAACTTGGATGGATTACATACTTATATTACTGTGATGTCCATATCAGCACGTCAGCTTACCTAAGGGTTGGGACCAACCCAGTCTAGCAGCAGTGTCTGGAGGCATCTCATCCACAGTGATTTCAAAATACCAGGCACCTTTTCGTACTCCATGAGAGGCTCGGACCATAGAATAGCCCTTCTCTCCAACCACAGTCAGCCGGTCATCAGAAATCTTCAGCTGAGGAGCTATAGTGATGAAGATTAAAACAGACCTGAAACTTATCTGAAGTACTTGGAGACAATTACCACAAAAACATTAGGTGCTTAGGCTACAGTTAAATGAAATGAAAACTCAGAAAATTTAGGTCAGAAAGTCTCAACATAAGATACAAGCAAAGAAAAGATATAAAAATGGGAGGACAGTTGTTACTTTTATTTAAGATAGATTAAAAGTAATTTTACTGGATATTCTGTATCGCATGGAATTTTTTTTCCCATTTGAGTTTCACACATTTCCCCACTGACATTGTATTTCATACCATCATTCCCATTTTTATAAAATTAATCATCATTGATCCATACCTACCATTACCCCACCTTTTCAGGTCTCCACTGGATCTTTCCTAATTCCTTCACCCTGTTCCTCTACCCCTCAAACTCTGTGACCTCAGGATTTCCTCCCATCCCCACCCTCAGCCCAACTCCTCTCTCCTCTCCCTTCCCCTTTGGACTTTTGTATACATTAGTAATCCTTCTATCTTTGTAACAGAGGTCCTATGCAGTATTTGTCCTTATGATACTAAGTTCACTCTCCAGACTCTCCCATGTTATACAGTATTTTTCAAAATCACTGCTTCTGAGTGCTGCATAGTATTCCATCATGTGACTGTACCACAATTTCTCAATCCAGTTGTTTATTGATGGACATTTGGCTGTTTCCATTTTCTTGATTGTGAATAACATTATTATGAACATCAGTGTACAAATCTCTTTGCATTTCAATTCTATTTCCCTTGGGGTATATTTCAAGTAGTGGAATAACCAAGCCATATAGAATTTCTATTTTCAGCTTTCTGAGGAAATGACAAACTGCCTTCTAGAGTGGTTGTACCATTTTATAATCCTGCCAACAGTGTATTTGGATTCCAATCTCTCTACACCCTCTCCAACATTTATTTATCGCCTGCGGTCCTATTATATACTTTACCACGGCTACTGGCGTGAGTGAATTGGTATCTCTTTGTGGTTGTGATTTGCATTTCTCTTATTGTCTGTGGTTCTGAGAATCTCTTCATGTGTCTATTGGTCATCCAAATGTCCTTCCTCTGTGAAAAGGGTTCCTATGTCTTTGTTTCTATTTTTTCTTAAATTTTAATGCCTTTTTGTAATTGGGTTATCTGGGGTTTTTTCTTGTGGAGACCGTGTAGTATTCTATAAACATTCATTCTGAGACCCTTGTCTGAGATGGTATTGCCAAAGTGTTACCTCCTAGCCATTAGGTTTTCCTTTCACCCTATGTAAAAGTTTTGATGCACACAAGGATTTAATCTTTAGTAGGTCTCATTCACTGATGTTATCCTCTCCTAGTTGTACACATAGCAAGCAATTTTGATGTGTCTGCACTCTTAAGATTTAACCTTTTATTTTGAAACATTTTTAGACTTTCAAATTCATGAGTTCCCAATTATTCTGAAACATTTTCAGACTCAAATTCATGAGTTGCAAAATATCCTTCATTCAGCTTTCCCAAATGTTAACATCATCTAGAACCATAGTAATCAGAACTAGAAAATGAGTATTGATAGAACACTATTAAGTAATCTACAGACCATATTCAAATTAAGCCAATGATCCCAACAATATCCTTTCTGCTCCAGAACCCAATTACTTCATTTAGTTGTTATGTCTAATTATGTGCTTCCAATATGGGTTGTTTCTCAGTCACTGCCTTTCATGGAATTCAGTACTGGTCACTTAGTTTATAGAATGTCCCTCCTTTAGGACCATCTTGATTTTTGCTTCTGGATTCCAGAAGTAAGTTGCCTAGTTTTTCTTTTGAGTCAGTCATCTCACACAGCTAAGCTTTTCCCAGATTCCTCACCTGTAAAACTATCTGGCAATTGGCTATACAGAAGCAGATCACATAAAGCAATTATCTTTACAAAAATACAAATCAAAAGTGCCAAAGGTAGCAGAGCATCTTTGGCAATTTACGCTTCACTGGATCTGGGGTGGGGGTGGGGGTGGGGAGCCAGAATTACTATTTTTAAGTTAGAGACTGTTTTGAAATAAAAGGATGCACTTTAGATTTATCTTCAATTTTTATTAAGGCCACAGAAGACTGTGCTACCTTTGTTATCCTACTCATTGATTCTAACTAGTTAGTGCTGATGGCTATGTTCTTTTGCACATGCCTCTGCCACCCATAACTACAGCTATTAAATACAGTTCAAACAAGACAAGTCCATTTTTAAACTTTGAAATCACCTGACTTTTCTGTATCAAACTCATCACTAACAAGAGCCAGCGAATCCACATAAAATAACAAATTCATCTTACATAAAAAATTTATTCACTTCTAAATTATTAGCAGCAACATGTGTTAAGCGACATGTATTAAGTCAAGAAATAATGGGCCTTCAAATGTAGTAATGGATCTGTTTGGATCAATTCAAACAAACTGTAAAGGCATTCTAACTGTAAAAATCCGATTACGCACTAAGTATTATATGTTGTTGTCGTGCAGCATCGAGTTGGAATTAACTCATAATTGACCCCCCAGTGGTTTTCAGAGGAAGTTAGCTGTTTGGGAGCCTGTGGAGCGGCTGGTTGATTTGAACCATGTGCCTATGGGCTGGCACTACAAATCCTTACCACTAAGCTGCCAGAGTATTATATAGTGAATTATTATTAATCTAGTTAAGACAGAGTGACTATAACATCTTTATTTGTTAGTGATACATACTGAAGTTATTTATGGCTAAAATAATAGGCTATCTGAAATTAAAAGCAATATTCCAGAAATGTATTTTTAAAAATTTTTTATTTTTTTTTAATATATGTATATATTTATGACTCGATGACACTTAACAACAACAACATAGAGAGAACGCTGCTGGTCTAGTGGACAGAATGTGACGCTACCAAGCAAAAGGTGGGTGACTTTAATCTGTGACACTCAGGCCTGGTTTTAATTGTTTTTGGTCAAACATTCTTCTAAGTGGTACAGCACTGGTCTGTCCATTTGCTGTACAGAGATAACTTGTGGTTGCTGTAATGCTAAAAACTGTGACACTGATGTGTCAAATGTGATAATGGTTATCCATGGTAGACAGTATTTGGTGGAGCTCCCTGATTAAAACAGGCTTGGAAGCAGAAGTGGCATCCACTTCCAAAATAGCTTACCTCTGGAAAACCTATGAACCTGGAGAAAGGAGGAAAGTAATACAAGTGCCCAGGTCTTTCATTCATAGGATCCCTATGAGTCGTCTACGACTCAACAGCACAACAATAACATCCATGTCTAAAAGGGAACTCTGGTGGCCTAGTGGTGAAAAGTTGCACTGCAACCCTAAAGGCTGTGGTTCAATGAGTTAATGTTTATTTAAATTTATTTCTACATTCTAAAGGCCAATGAATAATATTTTTTAACATTAATTGCTAAAAAACAATATGAAAAAGAATTTTTAAAAAACCAACAACAATAAACAATAATAAAAACAACCCACTTAATATGAATGTTAGAAGTTCGACAGAGTAAAATAATACCATAAACAATGCAAAAAAACACTAAAATGGAGAAAATGTTTACAACATACATGTTGTTGTTGTTAGGTGCCGCCGAGTCGTAGACGACTCATAGCGACCCTATGAACAAAAGACCTGAGCACTGTTCATACATAGTTTCCGGAGGCAAGCCATTTCAGAAGTGGATGCCGTTCCTGCTTCCAGACAACATACATAGATCACAGCAAAAAGGTTAACATCCCTAAAACAGAAATTTCTTTTTTTTGTTTATTTTATTATTTTTGTGTGTGTACCGTCAAATTGGATCTGACTGGTACAGAAGGAGACTGTCTCTCCTTCTCCAGCAGTGCATCTGGTGGATTTGACCTCTGGGATAGCAGTGCAGCTTCCTAACACTAGGCCATCAGAGCTCCCTTATACATAAATTTCTTAAAAATTGCGGGACCAATAAAGAGCAAAAACCAAACAGAAAAATGGAAAACAAAAGGCACAAACAATTCTTGAGTTAATTATGACATATGAAAAATGTTTGAACTGAATGAAAAAGATCCATTTAGAACATTTGAGGTAGGTTTTCTCATCTACCAGATTGGTAAAATTAAGACTAGTTAGACTGAGGGAAAACAAGTAGTCCATACTACCCTCCTGAAGGAAATGCGGCTCTACTTAACAAGACTACAGAAGCGCTTACCTTGTGGTCCTGCATTCCCATTTAAGGAATTGAGCCTGAAAATACCTCACCAAAAAGACTATGTTCAAGGTGAAGGACATGTGAAAATGCTATGCTATTTTTGCAACTGTACTGTAAACTTAAAATTAATTCAAAATATAAGCTATAAAATCTACTGTAGTAGGGAGCTCTGGTGGCTTAGTGGCAAGAAGCTGCACTGCAATCCCAGAGGTGCACAGTTCAAATCCACCAGATGCTCTGCTGGAGAAGGAGAGACAATTTCCTCCTGTACCAGTCAGATCTGATTTGATGGTACACACACACACACACACACACACACACACACATACACACAATTTAAAAATTTAAAAAAAAAATCTACTGTAAGTTGGTTGAATTTATAGTAAGAGTCACAGGAAATTATTTCTTGCCCATTTTGGCTAGAGATGGGAGTACGGTGGGTAAAACACTAACAAACATGTTTATCTAATTCTAGGTTGGATAAAGCTGATGAGAACAGTTCAAAGTAACAACAGCATTAATACCTTACATACCTCGATCATGTAAGGCTAACAAAACTCGTTCATACAGGCAGGCCCTGTAGAGATCTCCAGGAATAGGTTTTCCTGCCCAACAATCAAGTTCAAGCTTCTCAGGGTCAGGGGCGTGAGGATCAGGCTCAGCTAGAATATACCGATAGCCATCTTTGTTAAACGGATGTTCCAAGGGGTAGCCATGAGGGGGAAGGCGCTGAGCAGAAAACAAAGGGTCACTGCAGAAAGGAAAAGATAAAATCAAGAAACTAAAAGCCTCTCTAATTCAACTGCCTTCAATTGTGTAATAAAGTCCTCTGAATTATTAGATTCCAGCTGCAACATGTGATTTCATTAACAAATGCTTTTCGTTACTCAATTGAGCATCCTGCCCTCTACAGGCAAAACAGGATTATGAAAAGCATTAATTTTATTTAGCAGAGCAGTTTTGGTTAAATTATTTGTGCTCTGTAGAGCTTGTCCTCGTAGTCTTTAAAAGCAGATAGTGATGTCTATGAAATGGATTCAATCCTCAGTATGGGAGAAAGAGCAAGAAGGAAGAGGGTGATTTTCTTTAGTTAATCTTTTATTATAAACAAATTAACAGAAGTTCAGAGGTATCAGTATCTGCTATTTGCTGCCAACCTCAGTAAGAAGTGACTAGAATTTTATCATTTCAGTACTGGACAAAGGCAAGGGCGGGAGTATGAGAGGGAAGAAGCAGAAAGTTTACACAAAGGAGTTAACATTCAGTTCTGGTTTCACCCCTTCTTCCCTGACTACCCTTTCTCATGATGGATGCGTCAACATAACTTAACTTCTTTGGTAATTAACCCAAGGGTATTGCCTAGTCTGTGTAGTAACAACAGAACTCTTAATTGGGGATTATTTTGCCACGCCAAATGTCCACGATTTAAGAAAAATGGCCAGGCTACTGAAGAGTATGGCTCTAATACTCTATCATCCAAAAAGCATACTCCAATGGTGATGGGCCAGGGGTGGATGTATACCCTACCTCCGAGCTTTCTTGGTAGTCCCTGTGGTCCCTCCATCCTGCTGTTTGCGCTTTGCTCCTCTTCCTTTTCCACTGCTTCCTGCTGCAATTCCTCCTTTAAAGAGAGAGCAAATCACGTGCAACCAGCTGTGACAGAAGCATCATGTAGATAAGTGAAATCTCATGAGGACTAACACATCAAACATGCATTTGTGTAACATCCCAGACAAAGGAAGCACAGCTCCCTCCTAAAATATACAGGGTTTCACCCTAGTTCTGAATGAGCCTGCTGAGTTTCATAGCCCAGACCACTGTGTTCTAGCAGTAAGCACAAATGATACTGGTGTTACATTTCCTAATGAACTGAAACTACTAGTATACTTTCTGAAAGTGTGACACAAATGCATTTTAACTCATGAAGATTCCAAACACCTATAGCCAGATAGGATGAAAACAACTGCACTGATATATCTTTCCTCCCCCACCTTTAATCAATACAAACATCTATAAGAGACTGTATCTTCACTTGTTTGAACTGCACAATATATTCAGGAAAAATAATACATAGTATTTGCTAAAGCAGTTTACATAAGTACATCAAACAAGGAATAAAAAAATAGAAGTATTAAAAGGTGTTTCTCTCCAGTGATACTAAATATCCAGTAAGGCTGTACATTGCAAGAGACAGAAGGCATTCAATTTCTTGGCACTTTTTAGTTTCACACCTATTCATTAAACAACAGTAAGATCATGCCAATGCTTAAGATTCATGCTAGACTAGCCTGGCTTATGGAATTAAGAACAAATATCACCAACAGATAATTTCTATGTTTTATATAGGAAAATATTATAATTTATACAAAGTGGAAGAATATTATTTTGTATATTTCTGAAATTTGGACTTTAAGAAATTTTTTGTTGAATTATGAACAATTAATTTTGTTCTTCCCCTTCATTTTCATTCAGAAAATGTCCCTGAACTGCAGGAAAACACCTTTACATCAACGACTGCATAGACTACTAGATCGTGAACTGGGGCAAGCTTGGAAATTATCAGCAGTTCTGCTGCAATAAAAAGGATCAAAACGTTGAAAATATATCATATTCTGCACAAACAGGATCAGACTTCTCCAGAACTTACTTTTATGAATAAATCGAGCATGACTCCTAAGTCTCATGAAAGATTTAACTTTAGTCTGCTGCAACATCAGTATCTCTACTTTGAGTGACCTTAATCTTTTAATAGCTTTGTAATTTGCATTTTAATTAAGAGTGAAATTTTAAATCTATCTGGAACAGAACCACCAATACCAAGATGACCTCTGGCCATGTTGGGCAGAATATGACAATGTACAAGCTCATAATTACTAACATTAAACTGGTACTACAGTCTCATAAGTGCTATAGCCATCATTTCCACAATGCTTTAAAATTTTTATTTAGTCTTAGCTTCTACCACAGTTCAGCACAAAGCATTTTCCAAACCACAAAATACTTAAGTCAGAGAGGCTGAAAGGACACAGAGGAGGAATTCACCTCCAAAAGAGGTTCCACCTGTAAGAACAGAAGTGGCAGCATGTATTTGTCAAATGTTAACAATAAAAAAACTGGGGTAAAAGAGAACATATTTAGCAATTTCTAACCCATCTTAGAATACTAGTAACATTTAAAAGATTAGATACTTAAAATGTTACTATTTTGAATGATAAGTTAATAATGTCACATATCAGATGAATAGCTTGCTATTTCCCAGCTACCCCAACTCTCATGAGATTACTATTAGCAGCCAAGGGCATTCTCAATAGAAGAGGGGTTAACAAACAGAAAAACACACTACAGCATGTGACCAATACAGAAATATATTACATAAAAATTTTTTAGTAGCCTTAGGTTTCAGAGTAAGAAAAATTAGAAAATGAGTATAGGAAGTTAAGATGGTAATTAATACCTGAATTAAGGAGAAAAAGAGTGGGAGTAACTACATCTCTCTAAATTAAATATTAGAGGATATGAGTAAGGAACCTAATATTAACACACTAAGTAATATTAAGATTGTACTTGGTTTTATACTAAATCTGTCTCATTTTAAACCAGTCTGTGATATAAAGTGAAAAAAGTTTTTCCTTCATTACCATCTGCCAAATCCTTGACTAACTCCTAAAATTTGCAGTTTGGACATAAAAACCATAAATACTCAGTAAACAAAAAACATAAATACTCAGTAAACAAATATTCAGTTCTAGGCATATATGAACCTGGTAACTTGTATTTTGACCCTGAGACATTTGAACGCTCACCATTGAGAGTCCCACCAGTAGACACAGCACTGCTCTGTTTTTGGTTATCATAAGCAGGACCAATGTTACTAAGATCCTGGAAAGAAAAATATTTTAAAAGGGAACTATATAATCAAAACAATCTGGTAATGCTCAGAAAACAGATAAATTCTAATAGCAATATATCAGGTGTTAATCCTATTTTCAACAGCAAATTAGAATTTTAAAGAGATAGTCCTAAGAATCTGAAACTTGAAGGGTTCCTAAACTCGAATGATTCAGGGATCGTCAAGTCAAGTGTAAGTCAAGTGTAAGGTCAAGATGGGGGAACAATGACAAACTGGAGTGTACAAGCTCCTTTTATTCAGTTCACTGTGGAAACTGGTATCCAGAAATTACAATTTTATAAGAAAATACAGAAACTGAAATTCCTATGTGAAATCTCAAATTTTCAATTGTTAGCAAAGCAAATATTTTAGGGCCCAGCTGAAATATCTGACCTCCTGAGATGATGAATGTGAGCCTTGCCATAAAAGAACGAGTGAACATTTTATTTTGTCTCATGTTACACTTACAATGCAATATCAATTCCGCTTTTATTCACAATACTTTTAGGAGTAAAATTAAGACAGAATATAAGAAATAATTTAAAATGGCATATTTATGTTACAATTTGGAACACTGAAGTTAAAAAGAATAAATTTCTCAAAGTTAAAAACATACTGAAAAATAGAACGAAAAAACAAGCGTCAGGGTTTAAGGTTAATTGTTCTTTCAGTACGTAGCAATACTACTTATTTGGAGTACCTTATGTTATGGGCCCATAAAGACTGTGTTATGTGGGAAAGACTTAAATGTAAACAAAACGTGGTTCCCTTACCCCAATTGGTTTAATAACCAAAAGAAACCATGTTAAAGTATGTGAATATACCTGATCCAGAAGTCCAAATTTGGGATAATCTTCTTCTGGGTCTTTACTCCCAGGATCAGGGTGTTCCTTTACCAAAAATACATCTCTTTCTTTACTCTAAAATGAAAAAGTGTTTTAGGTCTGCTAGGAGATTTAGACTTAATATTACACTTTGATTTTCTTAGTCTTATTATTTTAGAGGAAATAAAATGTAACTCTTACAAAGCATGAGTCCATTACTACCATTAAAACTTATATAAAAGTTTACACATAGAAATAGTTTGATAGCTCCTAGGGAGCTCTCAGGGGCTACTGGACAAAGAGTAGCTCTGCCAACCCAAAGGTATAAGGTTTGAACTGTCAGCTATTCCCAAGGAGAAAGAGGCAATCTCCTCCTGTGCAATATGCAGCCTCTGAACATCCACTGGAGGGTCAGCTATGAGATGGTTCTGACTTGACAGCAATGAGTTGAATTGAGGGATCAGAGAGGAGAAAAAATTACTAATTAACTAAGAGACGTATTTAGGGGAAGGAAAAGGCAATATACAAAAAGGGAGTAACTAGTACAGTATCACAAAGTAAAAAGAAGACATGGAAAGGTGCACAAGTTATAGATAACAAAGGTAATTACTATTAACATACAATTCTGCATTAACAGAAATAACAGATACTTATTCACCAATGAATACATACAGGCAAGATCTACAGGTAAGTGTAAATGAATGAGACTATGTTCATAACCATATAGGGTTCAGCAGGTGGTATTTCTATATACGTATTTGTGTGTGCTGTAAATAGATCTAAGAATATAGTAGAGCAAATGGGAAAAAAATATGGAAATTTCTTAGCCATCACCAAATACTTTAAGGGAATGAGTTGTGGGAGCTCTGGTGGACTAGTGGCAAGAAGCTGCACTCCAATCCCAGAGGCGCATGGTTTGAATCCACCAGATCTGCTCTGTTGGGGAAGGAGGGACAATCTGCTCTTGTACCAGTCAGATCTGATTTGACGGTACACACAAACAAACACACAAATTTTTTAAAAAAATTAAAAAAATTTTTAAAAAAAGAAAAAAGGGAATGAGTTGTTTGGCCTGTGAAATTAGAATTATAGTCACGAGGGATCAAGGTTAACAGGCTTAACAGTTCAGAGTCAAGGTTCCATATTTTTAGTGAATGATGAATAGGGTCTTAATAGCTCGAGAATATCTACCAGGAGAAGATAAAATAGAAGAATGGTACCTTCTAAGAATCAAATCCCTATCCACATCCAAAAACTTCAACAGGGTAGAAAGGGAAGACACAGACTGGGAAAAAGTGTTTGGTAATGACCTATCAGATAAGGGACTTATATCCAGAATTTATAAAATACTTGAGCACCACAAGATAAAGGTAAACAATCCAATTGAAAAATGGGCACTGGATATGAACAGACACTTCACCAAAGAAGACATTCTGATGGCTAACAAGCACATGAAGAAATGTTCAACTAGCTCTAAAGAAGATGCAAATCAAAACAACTATGAGATATCATCTCACCCCAGTCAGCATAGCAAAATTTAACAGGACAGCAAGCAACAAATGCTGGTGAGGTTGTGGAGAAACTGGAACCCTTATTCACTGTTGGTGGAAATGTAAAATGGTGCAACCACTGTGGAAGGCCGTGTGGCGCTTTCTCAAAAAGTTGCAAATAGAGATATACCATTTGACCCAGCAATTCCACTACTAGGCATATACTCCAAAGAGACCATAACTAACATCCAAGCCAATATATGCACACCATGTTTATTGCGGCTTTGTTCATAATAGCAAAGTTGGAAACAACCTAAGTGCCCTTCAACAAACGAATGGATGGAAAAGTTGTGGTATATTCACACAATGGACTACTACACTGCATTGAAAAACTAGAAACTCAAGAAATATTATTCAAAATGGGCGACCCTGGAGGACATTATGCTGAGTGAAGTATCTCAGTCACAAAAGGACAAATACTGCATGGTGCCACTGTTGTAAAACAGTACTGATATTGGGGTTGGGGAGAGACTGAGAAAGATGGGATATACTGCATTGAAACAGATAAGGGAGAAAACTGTTTAAGAGGGATATGTGATTAGGTGTTATTGTCATGATAGGAGTCCAGAACGAAGGCTGCATTGTGGAGTGGACCTGGGGGGAAGGATTATAAAACAATGAAAGAATTTTTCTTTTACTTTTCAAAGAGAAGAATGTACTGGGGGGTAGGGGTGGGCAGGGAGAAAAGTGCAACAGTGAATGAATGGAAATTAAAAAAAACTCCACTTGAGAATAGTCAACTATAGGTCTCTTCCTGTACACAACAAAGACTAAAGGCGGAGACTATTAGCTCAAAAGATTATAAACCATCTGAACTTCAGTCTTCATGACTTTAAGACCAGAGGAATTAAATAGTGTCCAACTACCACTGACCACTCTGAAAGGATCTGAAAGTTCTGTTCCACATTCTTCCAGAATTCAGTAAGGGTCTGAACTACTATTAAAGAGTTGCTGAAAAGTTCTGGAACAAAACTAAAGATCACAAAAAACACCACGCTTACTGGTCTGATAGAGACTAGTGGAACTCTCAAGACTATGGCCCCAGTCATCCTGTCAACCTGGGATGGAGCATTCCTGTGACTCAATTTCTGACAAACAGGCAGGTCGAGAACGTGATTAATAACACCAAGGAGGAATGAGCTCCATAGAACAAGCAATCAAAAGAATAGGGCAGCATGTACCCAAGGATATAGCACAAAAGGGAGGAAATGATAGGTAAGAAGGACAAATGAAAATGGCAGATACAGGGATGAAGTGGGAAGAGAACTGTCATCAAAGTCATGAAACAAAATGTGCATGAACTATTGAATGGAAAACCAATATGCTTTGTAAACGTTCACTAAAATAACAATAAAGAGCTAAAAACAATAAAGCACTGTCTTTCTAAATATCAAGCCTAATTAATTTTAGTCTACTTACCATCGTTTTGACAATGTTATTTGGCCACGTCATCTTCCCAGGTCTCTGTCTGGTCGTCATGCACTCCCAGTATTTATCAATAAATGGTATAATATCCTAATTTTTTTTAAAAAAAAAGTACTGAAAGTTTTATAGCTGTTTTTAAACTTACACTCACAAAAAGTCTTTCAATTACTGAACACTTAACTGCATGAAAATGATGTTAAGTATACAAACAGTTCCTAGATTACAAACACATTTTATTCCTAAACCTGTCCTTACAAAATATTCCTATGTTTAAGTTGGTATGGTTTATAGCTTTTTACTTATTATATAAAATGTACCTTTCTATACATAAAAACATTAAAGAAACACTTCCACATAAACAGAAATATCTTTAAAATAATAAAGTAATAAGTTTATGAAGCAAGTTTGAAAGTGGCATCCCTGTATGTACTTCCTGTTTTTAATTATGTTGTACAGGGTTGGTTTGTACATAGGTTTAAGCTGTCTGTCCACAAATCTAACTCACAATTCAGTTGGAGAGAAAAGATCCAACTCATTCCTATTGGATGTTAACTGGGAGATGAAAACTTCCAAACATTCTCTCTTCTGAGAGAATATTTCTATCTTTGTATAATTATTTTCTATCATTTGTATTTAAACATTCTTGTGCCCTAAGGCAGCTATCATGGCTTAGTAGCTAAGGAATTGCGCTGCCAACCTGAAGGCACACAGTTTGAATCCATAAGTTGCTCCATAAGAGAAAGAAGGGCAATTTCATATACAGTTTTCTGACTCTGAAAACCCACTGGAGGGTCAGCTGTGGGTCAGTTCTGACTCCACGATACATAGCAAGGATGTCCAAATTGGAACCAGATGTTAAAAAATTAAAAGATCAACTTCAGGGTGGACAAACTGAAGAAGTGATGTTTCAGGCTGAAAAGGAACTAAATTGGGCAAGAAAAATTATATAGTGGAAACCCTGAAGCCTTTAGTGAAAATGATCAATATATTTGTCCTTAAATATAGGTTTGGGCATTGGGGAAGTATGAGAACATGATAATCACATAATCTTGCTTTATCATCTCAATATTACTTAGTGACAAAGAAAAAAAGTCCCTTTTCAATGGACAAATTAGGAAGATACCCTCTTAGCCAAGTAGTCAGATTTCAGATTGCCAAGAGTAAAACAAATCAGTATGTTATACCTCCTGATGTATAAGGGAAAAGACACATTAACTATGCAATATTCTTTGTAGAAAGGTTTTAACGTGAACCTAATCTTGAAAAAACACAATCAGATGAAAACAGAATAATGTTCTACAAAACAAATATAATGGTTTTGAAAACCTAGAAATGTCAGAGTAGGTCAAAGTAACAATAATGGAACTATTTCAAATTAGAGACAAAGAGTCCTGACAACTAAATGTAATAAATGATCTCAGATTAGGTCCTAGAGAGAGCAAAGAGCAATAAAGGGTATCACTGAAACAATAATACTGAGTAAACAGAAAGAGTATACTAGATGGATATTGTATCAATGTTAAATTTTTGAATATTATATACCATAGTATATAAGATTAGCTTTAGTCTGAGGATATGTCTGTAGAAGTGTCAGTGTTAAAGTATAATATACGCAATTTAAATTAGGGGGATATAAATAAAAAGCAAATACAGCAAAATATTAACAAATGGAAAATCTAGTAAAGAATTAACGTACGTGCATTGTATTAGACTTTGAACTTCCCATATGTTTGAAAGTTTTCAATAATTTTGGAAGGAAAAAGGGAAAAGCCCCCAAATCTAATCATGTTATTTATTTACTGCACAGATAAAAGCCTAGGTGTGCGGGGAGTGGGGGAAAGACCCTTTGCTGACTCCTTGTATAGAAACAACCCAAACTTCTCTGCTTAGTCGACAAGGCCTCTGCTATTGGATCCCAACCACACAGGTCTAAGTTACTGTCAGATAATTGATTCAACTTAGTGCTTACTCATAGCTGACCCTCCAATGGATGTTCAGGAAGCAGTAAATTGTGTGGGGAACTGCCCATCTTTCTCCCTCGCAGTAGGCAGTGGATCTGAATCACCAGAGAGATGTCGCATTTGGTTTAGCATCACAACTCTCTACAGACTATGGCACCAGAGTTTCTGCCATAGTCAATGAGTAGATTTTAAAAGAAATGCTATCAACAACCCAGAACTGACTAGAACAGAAAATACCGGCATTCAGAGGGATCAGAGGAATAGTATTATTTCATAAATCCTGTGTTTCCATTTTAGATAACAAACCAAACTTCATTTTCAAAATTCACTGATTTTTTATTTTCTACCATGAATTACATGTGGTAGTAAAGACTCATTGATGAGCTAATCCCCTATTTTTGAATTCTAATTTTAGTCACATATTTTCTAGCTGAACTCTTCTTTATAACAAAAGGGATATATTAACTGGTCACCTCCCCACAAAATCTGTAATATGCAACTATAGAAACATCCAAACTAGGCTGAGAAGATTTGCCTCAGACTGGATTATTAATTGTGAATAGACAGTTATTTGCTCTTCTAAAGCTAGCTCAAACTATTTAAGTAATCACCCTAATAACTAGGTTAAATGTGTGCATTTTAGGAAATGAACAAATCAAACAAAAATAAGAACAATGTAACTAATGTAAGACATATTCACAAAAATTGGAAGGAAAAATCTCATTAAATAGTGTATTTAGAAATCCTACTGATTCTCTGGCATAATCACACATCCCATCCCTACCTTATCTTTGGAGAACATAGTTTTCGGATGCTCATCCTGTGTTCGGGACTGCCATGTGAGGTTGGCCAAAGCACTAAGGCACATTTCCTTCAAGTCTATTAAAAAAAAAGGGGGGGGGGGAGAAGAAAGGGAGACAAAAGTTATTAAACAGTACAAACTCGACCTCTATCATCAAAGGAATGTTCAATTAAATGATCAAAAGAGCTACAGTGGCATAAAGCACAGTCATCATTTGATCTGAAGGGTCAGTATTAAACCTCAACTTAATATGTTAACAGGCAAAGGTTTCCTGCTCCCATAAAACACTGTTCATTTTGAAGCATTTCAGAATTTGATCTTACTTGCTTGCTTGCGGAGGAAATAGGTATTTCCACTATGATGGCACACATTGCAGTGAAAGCTGTAGTTGGTCATGAAAGGCAGACAGGATCTGGAGAAGAAACAAATGGTATATAGTAGTGAATTTTTGAACTCAAACTTTATGAGCAGTCATTCAATAGGAATCCTTCTCTGTTGGTGAAAGTATTAAAATATAAATACAGCTGAGTACTTAAGGTCACCAAAATGGGACTATTACTGTTACTAATGAGAATTTTTCAATATGTGTCATAAATATTTAGTAAGGTATTATGGTGCATAATTCAACATGTGGGAAGTTCTTTCTGGCATCTTTATAGTATGCTTTATTTTTGTAAGCAACTAAATAAGAGTACGGAGTTCTGGGGGCTTAGTGGTAAGGCATTGTGCTACCAATTCAAAGGCACATGGTTCAAATCCAGAAGTGCTCCACAGGAGAAAGATGGACAGTCTGCTGTGCAATTTACTACCTCTGAAAACTTACTGGAGGGTACGCTATAAGTTAGTTTCAACTCAAGAGTACATAACTATTAACAGCAAAGAGTATGCCAGGCAAGGTGAGGAAGATATAGTAGTCTAGGACTTATCTCTTATCTCATTATTGTTGTTGAAATGAGACAACAAAATGTATGAAAACACTAATTAAAAATGTAGACAATTATTAAAAAAGACAACACAGATATCACAAAATATTCCATGCTTCATTAGCAAATTAATCACACAGAAAACATTTAGTCTATAAGAGTACAAATGATCTAATTTCAGAATGAAGAATTAAAGATTTTTCAAAGACAAAGAAATGAAAGAGCTTTAGAAAAATGAGTAGGTTTTTGTTGTTGTTAGGTGCTGTTGAGTTGCATACGACTCATAGCAGCCCTATAAACAGATCTCAACACTGTCCTAGTCTGTGCCATATTCACACTGCCTAACACACTAGAGCCCATAGCAACAGTCACCATGTCAATCCACCTGGTTTAGGCTATTCCTTTCCTTCACTGACCTCCACCCTTCCTAGCATCATGTCCCTCTCTAAGGATGTTGTTTTAAATAGGTGAATTATGTAAAGAGGTCAGAAAGTGAAAGCTAAGGGTAAAGGGGCCGCATTGATACAAGCAGGTTGGTCCAGGCAGAGGATTTACCAGTGATGTGTTTTGGGTTTGTTTTTGGTTTGTTTTTTTTTTAGATTTTAATGAAAGTTTATACAGAACTTGGATTTCCACTCATTCACTGTTACACATTTTCCTCCCTGTCCCCAATCCCTGAGTTTGCTTTTTCTCTTTGAAAAAATTCTTTCATTGTTGTACAAACCACCCCCTATCTCCCAGTCCACTTTTATTTTGGACTGTTTTCACGCAAATAATACCTTATCATATATTCCTTTCAAGCAGTTCTAGTCCTCATCAGTGATGTTATTTTTTAAAAAAAAGAAAAAGAAAGGCTTGAAAGACAGAAAGCCTTCTGTGCTGGGCAGATTTCACCCCCCCACCTTGGGTAATGAGAATTCCTTGAAAAGGAATTTCTTTTGGTTAAAATGCTGAGTTCAGGGACAAAACTGATCTGAAAAGAAAGAGATTACAAAAAGTAGAAAAGTATATGAGGTTCTTCAACTGTACCAGTTGTTGTTATGTGCTACAAGTCAACAACAACCTATAACAACCCTACGAACAACAGATCTGAACCTTGCCCTATGCTGAGCCAACCTCCCCCTTGTCGCAGTCACTGTGTCAATCCATCTCATTCAGGGTCTTCCTCTCCTGCGCTAACCCTCTACCTTTACAAGCATGATGTCCTCCTCCAAGGACTGGTCCCTCCTGGTAACACGTCTAAAGTATGTGAGATGGGGCTTTAAAACCCTTGCTTCCAACAAGCAAACTGGTTTCACGTTCCCCAGGACAGACTTACTTGTTCTCTTAGCAATCCATGGTATATCCAGTACTCTTCTCCAGTACAACTCAAAGGCAGCAATTTTTCTTCTGTCATCCTTAGTCACTGTCTGGATCTCAGATGCACACCATGCAAATGAGAAAGCATGGCCTGAATCTGGTGCACCTTAGTCTCTAGACTTACACTGTTGCTCTTTAGGAATCTAGAGAGGTCCCTGACAGCAGATTTTCCCAGTAGAAGGTTTAAAAAAAAAAAAAGCCTGACAGTGTAAAATAGAAGTCAGGTGATTTTTAGGTCAATGAAACTATTCTGTATAATATAATAATAAGCATCCGGTATTATATGTCTGTTAAAGAACAGAGTCAATCCTAATGTAAGCTATGGACTTTAGTTGTAATGTATCGAATTGGATCATTAATTGTAGTATATGTACCATATTAATACATTAACATTAGGAGAAACTCTGTGTGTGTTTTTATAAGAATGGAGGTTATATGAGAATTCTGGCCCTTCTGCTAATCTGTAATAACTCTAAATTATAGTCATTTAAAAAAAAAAGAAAAGACTCAGAGGCACATGGTTCAAATCCACCAGATGCTCTGCCAGGAAAGGAGGGACAATCTCCTCCTGTACCAGTCAGATCCAATTTGACAGTACACACACACACAAAATAATAATAATAATAATAAAAAAAAAAATCTTAAAAAAAAAAAAAGACTGACCTGGAAAGTTATTAACAAAAAAGGACAAAACAGGGTGGGAAACAAAAATACTGGTAAAGTCTTGTTGGCATTCAATTAGATGTGGTAAAGGTGAAAGTAAATAAGTTGTACCATTAAGACTGGTTGTATTACAAAAAGAAAAATCTTATAAAAGGTGAGTTTTGGAAGGAGAAAAACCTTCCTATTTGAAGATGGAGAGGAAGAAGCCAATGTAGGGGAAAGACTGAATGCAGCAGATTGAGGATATACCCGAGGAAGCCATGCTTAAAGGAGAAGGTAGGCCAGAAGGGGAGGTACTGAATGACTGGCAAAGTATAAGAAGACCTTAGTCTTGGAAGAAAGTGACCGTAGAACAAAGGACCTTTGGTGTAAATTGGCTGGAAAAGAATAAATCAGTTACAGGCAAGTTATCTTTGACTCTGTTGAAATTACTTAGGGACTGTTCAAAGACAGTCCCTGACAGATGTACCATTTATCACCTTTTGTTACCACTCAAGGAATTAAAGGATTATTCTTATGTCTTTCAATGTTAGATTGAATTCCTTTACATATACTTTTCTTCAGAATCTCTCCTATTAAGCAAGTTGTTGTGATAAACTTATTTACAAATGGTAAAACTTCATACTAGAAATAAGTATACCATTATTTTAATTCAAACAATCAGGTGTTCAAAGCAATCTTTGTGTTTGATATTGATACTCTGTTGACTCTATTTATTTTAAAGATAATTCATCATCCCCAGATGGGCTTCAGCTGTAACTTCTCAAACTCAGGTAAAACCAGTCTTTCCAAAGCCACTCAAACTCTGAACTGTGGTTTGAGTCTTACCTGGATTCCTTCTAATTCTCTAGTAAATTTTCTTTCCTATGCCATGTATGTCGAAATGTAACCCTGAGACAAGCATTCTTACCCTATTAACTACCTGCAGATCTTTCTTTTCCCTTTAGATCTCTTTATGAATTCTTTCTTTCTAATACTTTAGTATTTCTTCTTTTTATTTTTTAAATGTTCTATTTTTGGCCTCAAGTGACATGTTAATTGGGAATTAATGAGTATTTTTAAAACCCACTTTGATAAATTAACTAAAAGAGGAGGACCATCCTAAAACCTCACTGCCTGCCACTGAGTTAAGAATGAACTACAGCTGACATCCTAGTGGGTTTTCAGAGGCTGTCAATCACATGATAAAAGATTTTCCATTTTTCTTTCACAGACTCACTGATGGATTAGAACCACCAGACCAGACAGGTTCAACCTTTGGGTTAACAGCACAATTCCTTATGGACTATGCCATCAGAACTCCTTTCAGAGAGACCATAAAGGACATTACAGAGAGCCACAACACAGTTATTAGCACAGATAATGAGGCAATAATGTATAGCCAATAGCTAATGATTACATCTCTAAAATAGGTAGCCTTTTAATTCTCAGTCATTTCTTAATTTAATCTCAGTCAACTGAGAAATGATTGAAAGTTTATAAGAATATATAAATGACTGGAAATATGTTTTGTTAAACTAGAATATAGGCTATGAAGTGAGTGTAATTAAACAAAAAAGATGGCTCAAGCATGAAAAGTACTGATACTCTCAATTTTTATTATTTGTGTGTGTGTGTGTGTGTGTGTACCGTCAAATCAGATCTGATTGGTATAGGAGGAGATTGCCCCTCCTTCCTCGACAGAGCATCTGGTGGATTCAAACCGTGTGCCTCTGGGATTGCAGTGCAGCTTCTTGCCACTAGGCCACCAGAGCTCCCCATACTCTCAGTTTTTTGATAACACGTTTTCTACACTAACACTTTTCCCAAAATCCAGCCTTGATAAGTCTTAATTCTGTCTCAAATGTGCTTCTAAAATGCACATTATAGAATATTATATTATAAATATAATTATTACTACATTCATATTAGTACATGCTATTATAAAAACTGCAGTTTTGGCTGGGAGAAGGAGCTTGCCCAGAAGTTCCAGGGCGAGAACACCAAGGCGGCCTGGCCCCGGAAGGCGGAAGCCAAGGCAGCAGCCGATGCCAGGAAGCAGCAAGAACTGGAGGATGCGCACTGGAAGGACGAGGACAAAGGTCATGAGGAAGCAGCAGTGTAAGAAGGACAAGGAGAAGCAACACCTGGAGCAGCTGGAGCGCAAGAAGAAGACAGAGCTGCTGCTGGAGGAGGAGGACTCAAAGCTCCAGGGCAGCGGCAGCACCCGGCATGGTCACCCATGCCCAGATCGAGGAGACCCTGCGCCAAGACCTCCTGCATCGGGAGGCTCCAAAGCCAGCTGAGAAGGCCCGGAGCCACCTGGAGGTGCCACGTGAACCGTCGCGTGCTGGAGGAGGGCGGCGTGGACGCCATCGCGGTGCCCAGCGGGGCTGAGAAGGCAGCTGACCGCCAGGCTTCATGACCTTCGAGGAGGTAAATCTCCCGAGACTCAAGCCAGAGAACCCCAACATGCGGCTGTCACAGCTGAAGCAGCTGCTCAAGAAGGGCTGGATGTGCTCTCCTGACAACCCCATGAACCAGCAGGCCTTGCCCTTCAATAACCCCAAAGTTAGGGATCCAACCCTGGACTGGGGGCTGCACACAGCCAGCAAAGAGCACCACTGGGACATGGGGGACAGGAGAAGCCAGCCTGGAGCTCTGTGGCCTCACACCCCTCCTCCCTGGACGGTCCCAGCTTACAGCAACCCAAACACAAGTATAGGGCCCAGGGCTGGCCTCCCAATAAAGGCAGGTCTTTAAAAAAAAAAAAAAAAGTAGTTTTATCTCCCAACTATATAGTAAACTCACAATCAAAGGCATTACCTGTCAAGGCTGTATCCTCAGAAGACAGAAATGTTCAGGGAATTCAAAGTATTTTTTTTAAGTTAACACCCTATTCGTAGAACAGTAGTTGGAAAGTGCAGGCAAAGTACTATGCTTATATTGCCTACAAACCAATTATTTAAATCTTGAGCATTTTGAAGTCGATTTTATAACGTGATTCGCAGAAAGCCTTTAAAAAGTACTCACGAGGTATCTATGCCAAAGGTGTCTGCTGTGAACCATTTTGTACATATGCCACACTGCAGCTCCACTTCTCCCAACTGCCGGCCATTCTCTTCATCCACTGAGCCTGCCTGGGTATCCATCGCTTCTGAAGTATCCCCAGCACCTTCCTGAGTCCAGAGAGCAAACAGAAAACCAAATTAGTTCACTTGATTGTATTTACATTTGAGACCTTTAAAACAAATCATCTTTTGCCTGGCAACCAACAAACAGAAATACTTACTATCGTATCTTTTCCGTTTGAGGATTCTGTCTCCAAACCACCACTTCCATCAACCAAGTTTGCATCCCTAGAAGATAAATGAACACTATCAGTAAGAGTCGTCAGGAGAATCGATTCTCGGCCTTTTTACTAAGACCAAGTGAAGAATCTTCAGGAGATAGAAACCTCTAAACACCTATGCCTAGAATCGACGACCAAAATTACAGGTGAATTTCACACTGTTTTTTTCTAAGCTTGTCCTCAGAAAGAAAGCCAGAGTTTACTGACAAAATATTAGGACGAACGTGGCCAAATGCAAGTTGGTAAGGGTAAACAGGGAAGACTGGTTCTCAGAGACAAGTCTACATGGAATGAAGTTGGTCCCTGGAGAGGTTCAGAGACACAGCACTCCCATTGTTTTCAGAGAAAACCTTACTTCTAGTTCTACGTTTTGCCCCGTTGTACTTTTTGTTGTGCTCCCCACTCCACCCCGGGATGCCTGGGTGGGTTTCCTGCTAAAAGAAGAAGCTACTAGTTCCGTACTGGCTGCAGGCATGGTGGTATGGTGGGATGGGAGAGAGGAGTCCTAGGTGCTCACAGATCACCGGAGGTGCAGAAAGGGGCGTAGTCTGAGATCTAGGGGACTCGCCGACCTGGAGGCAAGGCCGAGGTGCCGGCTGAGGTAAGGAAGCCCAGGGATCGGCAGCGGTGAGCAGGAAGGCTCTCGAGAGACCCCGTGTTCCGAGAGGGGCAAGCCTTCATCTCCACTCGCCCAAGGGCCGCAGGAAGTCTTACCCACTTTCGGCCTCTCCGGAACTGGGCTCCGTTGCTGGAGCAGCAGAAGTTCCCTCTCCGGCTGGAGTGGCTGCTACCGCTACCACTGGCTTCGTCTCTCCCTCTTCCGCTGCATTTGTAGCCGCCGCAGGGCCGGTTCCAGCACCAGCCCCCGGGGTAGAGCCAGTTCCCGCCGCCGCCATCTCTGCAGCCTCCCAGATTCTCGCGATAATACGATCTCCGTGGCGCGCGAGTTCTAGAGCGTGTCTGAAACCTTCAAACAGGAAAGACCAGTTGTGCGTAGGTCGCCCCTATAAGGAGCGCTGACTACAGGCCCGCTTTAAGGTCCGGCAGCTGCCACGGGCGGGCGGGGGCTGGGGGACAGGCAATGGTAGAGAAGGCAAAGGGGAACGACTGTTTGCTGGATTTCCACACCGAAAAATCCCCTCACACTCAGTACTGCAGGGTCGGAACTCAGTCTAGATGACCGTCCCGCCGATTTCCAAGGCTGTAAATAGTACATGAGGAGGGTTGTTCATCTTTCTATCCTAGAGCAGCTGGTGAATTTGAACCGCCCAAGAGGCGTCGCCTCTGGATTAGCAAGGCTGCTCCCTTAAAGCAATTCCACTTGCGCTCTCAGACTCACTTTATTGCTTTCCTGAGCACCGCAGGTTTACGTGGATAAGACTAGAAATTACACAGAGTCCCTTGAGGACGAACTTTTAAGGCTATGCATCGCAAGTGTTCCTCATTGAATGTGGAAGAAGTCCTTCAGTAAGAAAAGTACTCCCTACCCTAACCCAGAAGTTAGGTTTGCCACTTTGAGCACGTTTCCAAGTGAGCTCTTGAAATACAAGTCTTGTTTTGTGCCACAAGTTGACTGATTTATAGAGACCGTATGATTTGCAGGTCTGAATCTTGCCCTATCCTTGCACCATCCTCACGATCTCTGAAATGCTCGGGCCCCTGTGACAGTCACTGTCTTGTTGAAGGTCTTCCTCTCTTTCTCTGACCATCCCCCTTCCCCAGCTTTCCCAAGGACTGTCCTCTCCTAATAATGAAAGTATGTTAGACGAAGTTTCACCATCTTTGCCTTTAAAGGACACCCTGGTTGCTCTTCCCTCAAGACAGACTTGGTTTTTCTCTTGGCAATCCTTGGGATATTCACTATTTTTACCAACACTACAATTCAGAGAGGGAGCTCTGGTGGCCTAGTGGCAAGAAACAGCACTGCCATCCCAAAGGCTCGGGAGTGGGAGGTGAGGGTGGGGGGTGGGGTTCAAGGAAAAGGATGGGCAATCTCCTCCGTTGAGATTAACTGCCTCTGAAAACCCAAGGATCAGCTAGGGGTAGGTTCCAACAACAACAATTCAAAGGTATTCATTTTCCTTTGATTATTTATTGTCCAACTTTTAGATGCATAGAAACCAATTGACCATATCATGGCCTGGATCAGGCGCACCTTAATCTTTAAACTGACTTCCTTATTCTTTAGCGCTTTGGAGCGGTCCTTTTTTTAAAAAAATTATTAGAGTGTGTGTGTGTGTGTGTGTGTACCGTCAAATCGAATCTGACTGGTACAGGAGGAGATTGCTCTCCTTCAGCAGAGCAGCTGGTGGATTCGAACCACATATCTCTGGGATTACAGTGCAGCTTCTTGCCACTAGGCCACCAGAGCTCCTCTGGAGAAGTCCTTAAGAGCAGGTTTTCCCCAATACAGCATATCTTTTGATTTCTTGACTGTTGCTACCATGTGTTGATTGTGGATCCAAGTAAAATGAGATTATTAATGACTAACCTTTTATCTGTGAGAGTTATGTGCAGTTGAGATGCCTGCAGCTCATAGGGACCCTATGCATAATAGCTCTGAACCCTTCCCTAGCCTGAGGCAGTCTCACTGTCTCCCGACACACCTAACTCCGTTATCTCAGTTACTGTGTCAATACATCTTGTCCACACTGTCCCTTCACCTTTTCAAGTATGATGTCCTTCTCCAAGGACTGGGCCCTCCTGGCAACATTCCTTACATATGTGAGACAGAGCTTCCAAATCCGCACCTCTAAGAAGCAATTTGTTTCACCTTCTTCCGGACAAACCCATTTGTTTTCTTAGGGGTGCTCCGTATGTTCAGCACTCCTTTCCAGCACCACAGCTCAAAGGCATAGATCCTCCTTCTGCCATTCCTAATTATTGTCTAGCTTTCTGATGAATAGCAAGTAATTTCAAAGACAATCGCCTGCATCAGGCACATCTTAGTCTCCAGAACTGACATCATTGCTCTTTAGTACTCTGGAGAGGTCCCTGATAGCAGATTTTCCCAACACAATTCATCTTTTGACTGCTAGTACCAAGAATGTTGATTGTGGAGCCAAGCAAGCTGAAATCATCAACAATCTCAATCTTCTCTCCATCTGTCATGATGCTGCCGATTGGCTCAATGGCAAAAATCTTTTGTCTTCTTGATGTTGAGCTTCAATCCATATTTAATACTGCAGTCCTTGATCTTCTGTAGCAAACACTTCAGGCCCTCATTTTCAGCAAGCAAGGTTGTATCAGTTGAATCAACACAGGTTGTTGATGAGTCTTCCTCCAATTCTAATGCCACACTCCTCATAAAGGCTAGCTTCCTGAATGATCTGATATGCATATAGATTGAAAAGGTATGAGGAGACAAGACATACCTCTGACCTACTCCTTTTCCAGGTTTTCACCATGCAGTGTTTCCTTGAGATGTTATTAGTCCTGCGATGAGTATTTGTTTTCTCAAAATTGAGAAGGGAGCTCTGGTAGCCTAGGGATAAAGAATTGAGCTATCAACCCAAAGGTAGACAGTTTGAATCCACCAGCTACTCGATGGGAGAATAATGGATAATCTATGCAATTACAGCCTTAGAAAACCTGCTGGAGGGTCATCTATGAGTCAGTACTGAATTGAGGGCAATGAATTTGTTTTGTTTTTGATGTTGAGATACAGTTCATATTGATAGTCTTTGCGCTTCTACTGTAAATGCTTCAAGTCCTCTTTACAAGCCTTATTTCAGCAAAAAAGGTTGTGTCATCTGTGTTAAGGAAATTGTTGATGAGTCTTCCTCCAATCCTGATAACACATACATTTTTTGTTTTTGTTTTAACAACCCAGAATTTATTCTTTTACAGTTTAAGAGGTAAGACATTCACATACAGGGTCCCAGTTCTAGAAGGTCCTCTGTCAGCTTCTAAGTATCATTACATTGCATCATTACTTATGTGCATTTTGGAGGACACATAATTCAGTCCATGAAAATAGGAGAAAAAGGTAGTTCTACTAATAACAAAGTCTTAATCATATAGTTCAACTTCTCAAATTATTTGCTCCATAGACAGTTTGAATAGGTGTGAAGAAAGGACCTAACCCTGAAGCATACCTTTCCTCGTTTTAATCATGCAATGCTCCCTTTTCCCGTCTAGACAATGCTTCTTGGTCTGTGTATATATTTAGCATGAGCAACACAATTAAGTTCTGGGATTCCCATTCTTCTCAATGTTATCCATAACTTGTTATGATACCAATTTTTTTTGTGTGATTTACTGTGCAGAAGCCTTTAAAAAGTCGATAAAACACAAGTAAACATCTTTCTTATTTTTTTTATTATTATTTTTGTGTGAGTGTACCGTCAAATCAGATCTGACTGGTACAGGAGGAGATTGTCCCTCCTTCCTTGGCAGAGCATCTGGTGGATTTGAACCGTGCACCTCTGGGATTGTAGTTGCAGCTCCTTACCACTAGGCCACCAGAGCTCCCCTAACATCTTTCTTATATCCTCTGCTTTCAGCCAAGATCTACTTGACATCAGCAGTGATAATATCCTTCATGCCATGCCTCTTCTGAATCCAGCTTGGATTTCTGGAAGTTCTCTGTTGATATACTGGTCTAGCAATTCTTAAATAAATCTTCAGCATGATTTTACTTACATGTGATATATGCAATTTTGTTTTCGATAATTTTCACATTCTTTTGGATCCCTTTTTATGAGAAAGGGAACAAAAATAGATCTCTTCCAGTCAGTAACTGTCTTCCAAATTTCTTGGTGTCAGTTAGTGAGCAAGACCAGGACTACATTTGTTTGTTGAAGCACCTCAACTGGTATTTCATCAATTCTTTGGGTCTTATTTTTTGCCAATATCTGCAGTGCAGCTTTTACTTCTTCCTTCATTATAATTTCTTTCTGAGAATATGCTGTTGTTCAAAATGGTTTTGTACCTGCCAGTTCTTTTCAGTACAGTGATTCTGTGTGCTTCTTCCATTTCCTTTTTTTCTTTCTTTTTTTTTTAAATAGTCTCTACTGATATATTGCAAAAAATTTAGAGAAAGCCATTTTTACATTCTTCCATCTCTTGTTAATGTTTTCTGCATCATTCAAAATTTTGCTTATAGAATTATTATTATTCATCAGTATTGAAACTTAATGATTTGTCCATTGCAAACACTTTTCTTTTTTTGTCTATTTGTGTTTTATTTGCTATGCAAAGAAATTTGACTGTGTGGATCATAGCAAACTATGACCAACACTGAGAAGAATGAGAATCCCAGAACACTATGCGTATTCGAAACGTAAACCTAGAACAAGAAGCTGTTGTCCAAACAGATGAAGGTAACACAGGTAGGTATAGAAGTCATTTTGGGTGCCTGGCATCATATCCTTTCTGTCTATCTCTAATTTCAAGTCTTCATACTTAGAACATTTAACTCAGGCATATGGTATTGTTTTTGTTTTTCAATCCCATGGCTTTCTCTGCAATAGTTGCTATATGTTGTCAAGTTGACTATGATTTGTAGCAGCCCTGAGAACCACAGATCTGAACCTTGCCCTGTCCTATGCCGTACTCACGGTCTCCATTATATTGAAGCCCATTGTTACAGTCAGTATCAATTAATCTTGTTGAGGATCTTCCTCTCTTTATCTGACCCTCCACCTTTCCTAGCATGATGTCTTTTTCCGAGGACTGACTCCTCCCGATATCAGACCCAAAGTATGTCAGAAAAAGTTTTATTTTCTTTGCCTCTGAGGAACACCACAAATACATTTTAGAAAAACATAAATACTGACTGTATACATGGACATCACTTGATAGACTGCACAGGAATCAGATTGACTACATCTTGTGGACGGGGGCTGTCTGTGGAAGGAGATGTCAGAAGAGACTCTGAAAATTGCACTAGAAT